CTGGTTACACCCCTCCTGGCTTCTCAAGCACATGTTACTTTCTGGTTTGGTTAGCTTAGTTGCACTGAACTCAAGAGGCAGCAATTGCCGCCCTTTGGCGCCTGCCTTGCATAGACTTCTCATTGAGCTGCATTGGGAACTCTGTCATTGGACAGTCCCTTAAAGTCTTGGGGTTAGAAGGGGAGGGTTTGCAAAGGCTGCAGACAAGAAAAATTAAGTTTTTGCAATCTGCTTTTAGATATAACTCCAATGGGAAAAAAAGCATAATGAAATGCATGCAATCTTTCATTTGGGGTATGTCTACTAAACAGTGTATTTGTATTTATTTTTTATTTGTGCAGTGTATTGCACCTTTAAAATAGTCATCTCAACGTAGTTATGAGCTTTAGAGTCACTTGGGCGCCTTACCTTATGGAATTGAAATGCTTTATGCCGTCTGTTGCGCGCAACAGTACTTATCTGAAGATTTCTTAACACTTCGCATTGTGTCCTGGAGTGGTTATGTGACAACTGACATATAATATTTATAGTGTTTATGTACACATTACGAGTTGTGGGATTACATTGCTTTACTTGGAAATAATAAGTGTGCTAACCCACTCACATTTTTTGTTTGGAGAGACTGAATTCATAATGATAGTGACATTCATTTATGTATTCATTTGGCTACAACACAATGCTTACATGAAATTTATTCTCTGAAAAGTAACAGTCTTGTTCTTTAAAACAGGAGCTTTCTAACAGAATGTTTTACCTGGTTTCATTATTAGCCATTTACAGATTTATGATTTAAATAGCCTGTATTACATTGAGGTATTTGGGGAAAGCAATCAGTAAGTTGTTCAGTCAATCGGAAATCAGTCTAAAACCCTTAATACACTTTCAAGTATATAATTATCATATTAATACTACTTGCAACACAACTCTCGTGAATCATAGCCACAGGAATTTAAAAGCTATTGTGCTTTAGACATGTTTATGGTAAATAGGTATAATTGCTTTTCTATTATCTTTAATGATGTGATAACTTAATTTAAAGAGCTTTTATAAGTGAATGGAATAAGTTTCTTTGCCTAAGTTATGGAGCCTGTCTCTCCGGCGCATAGTTATTAATATAGCCAATCATCTAGAGTAAAAATAGATGCTGCTGGTGACAGTGAAATGTTTTTCATATGTCTCCGTTTGCTTGTAGATTTGCAAGTAGCGCAAATTATAACGCTTAGTCTGCAGAAGTTATTTTCTGAAGTAAAATTGGGCTTTGCAATGGTTATCACAGTCTATATCTCAAAAGGTAAAAGGAGTCTTGTTGTATATTATCTTTTCGATTGATCCAGTATCAGAAATAATAATAAAAAAAAATATATACCCAAACCGGGTGCATTCCCAGGGCTCCAAATATCCAAATAGCTGAATCAAAGGTTGCACTCACGGATTCTTAAAACATAGCTTTTATTGTGTACTCCTAAAAAAATCGACGTTTCAGTCCTATTCAAGGACTTTCATCAGGATCCTGATGAAAGTCCTTGAATAGGACTGAAACGTCGATTTTTTTTATTTTTTTTTTATTTTTTTTAGGAGTACACAATAAAAGCTATGTTTTAAGAATCCGTGAGTGCAACCTTTGATTCAGATATATATATATATATATATATATATATATATATATATATATATATATATATATATATCTATATATATATCTATATATATATCTATATATATATCTATAAAAAATTCATATTCTTTCTCTAAATACCCTGATTAGTGGGAATTCATGTCAATAACATTTAAATGGTCATTGAAGTCACCAAAACTATTTTAGCTTGATGAAGCAGTTTTGGTATATAGATAATGCCCAGGCAGTCTCACTGCTCCATTTTTTAAAAAATTTTTTTATTTTATTTTGCTATTTAGCAGGTAAATTACTGTTTATGCAGCCTAGTCACACCTCTCTGCACAGCCTTCCTAAACACTTCCTGCACAGTGAAATCTAATGTTTAAACTTCCTTTATTACACAGTCTAATTTATATTTTATCTCCTCCACTGTTAAGTCTTGCTAGCTTTACATGACCCTACTTTGTGTGATTTAAAGTTTAATTAACAGAGCAGGAGATACAAACTTCTAAAGTAAGTTAACATCTGATTGAACTTCAAACCATTTTGTTTTCATGCAGTCTGTGTAAATCACAGTCAGGGAGGTGTGGCTAGGGCTGCATAGGCAGAAACAAAAGTGATTTAACTCCTGGCAGAGAATTGATCAGGGGCATAATCTATACACACATCTATAATCTGTTTTGCTGACTATTGTGTCCCTTTAAATCTGCTCTGTCACATTCAAAGACTGCATATTGTTGACGCTCCATGCAGAGACCAGCATCCCAGGGGTGAAGCTGATGTAAGATATATTAGCTTGAAGCTCACTCTTCTTTCTTCAGCTCCTGGTGCTTCATCTGACCGGAGTTTGCTTCCCAGCTAACCTCGCAGCTGACCATAAGACAAAGTAGTCCTGGCATTGTCTTGTGTTTATTGCCAATGTTGCAATTTCAATGAAATCAGTAGCATCAGGTTTTTAATTTTTTTTTTTTGTCTTTGTGAAGTATTCACAAGAGATTTTACTGTGACAGAGCTGCTTTAAAAAAGTTATTTCTAGTATTGATTAAATAACATAATTGCCTTTTGACACTTAATTAGAATCGTGTAGCATTCATAATTTTTACCCCCACCTCTGTGTGCAATGAAATGGCTTGATGTTTGCATTTGTAGAAGTGTAAAGTAATTTTGATTTCTAGACTGCAGTTCAATATGTTGGTTCTTAATGGCCTGTTTACAGCTGTCTACATAAAAGGCATTTATTATTTAAAGTGAATGTATGGGCTTGATGTACCCACCACTCTCTGTTATAAATTAATGCCACTACATGATCTCCATACTTGTTTTTTTTTTTTTTTACTCTATTAAAATTCTTCTGTTTTGAATGCCGTTTGAGTTCAAATCATTGTGCAGTAAATAGTCCATTTGAGAATCCATTATTTCTGGAAGGCAGTGCATTGCACCGGTGATGTAATTTCATTGTTCCATATCAATCACTGCATAATGTGCTTATTTGAAATAATATTTTGCAGCATAAAATGTATGTATTGTCCTGAAACTCTTATAATTTTTAATCGTATAGTCCACACCAAGTACACCCTGTTCCAAATTATGCAAATTATATATTTTTTTCATTTACCTAAATAATTGATGTAAGTCAAGTATAATTCTCATGTTATCAACTATTAAGAGTACAATTCAAATGTTATTGAACAAACCTCCTAACGATAACCGTATTTTTTTAAAACATAAACTTACAATGCACTGTTCCAAATTATTACGCACAGTAAGTTTCAAAACACTTTATAGGTTGTAAAGAACTGAAAATTGTCATTTGTTGTGTTTGCAGCATATTTCCTGAAATCAAAAGCTATTTCAGTCAAACTTATAACAACATTTTAAAAGGTCATGTTACATTTTAACATAGGACCCCTTATTTGATAGCAGCTTCACAAGTCTTGCATCCATTGAACTTGTGAATTTTTGGACAGTTTGTGCTTTAATTTGTTTGCAAGATGTCAGAATAACCTCCCAGAGCTGCTGTTTGGATGTAAACCGCCTCCCACCCTCATAGATCTTTTGCTTGAGGATGCTCCAAAGGTTCTCAATAGGATTGAGGTCAGGGGAGGATGGAGGCCACACAATGACTTTCTCTCCTTTTATCCCCATAGCAGCCATTGATGCAGATGTATTCTTTGCAGCATGAGGTGGTACATTGTCATGCATGAAGATGATTTTATTACGGAAAGCATAGTTCTTCCTTCTGTACCAGGGAAGAAAGTGGTCAGTCAGAAACTCCACATACTTCGCAGAGGTCATCTTTACACTTTCGGGGACCCTAAAGGGGCCGACCAGCTCTCTTCCCATGATTCCAGCCCAAAACATGACTCCTCCACCACCTTGCTGACGTCGCAGCCTTGTTGGAACATGGTGGCCATCCACCAACCATCCATAACTCCATCCATCTGGACCAACCAGGGTTGCACGGCACTCATCAGTAAACAGGACTGTTTGAAAATTAGTCTTCATGTATTTTTCTGCCCAATGCATCTGTTTCTGCTTGTGAGCATAGGTTAGTGGTGGCTGAATAGAAAGTTTATGCACAGTTGCAAGACTCTGGAGGACTCTACACCTTGATGTCCGTCTGGACTCCAGAGGCACCAGCAGCTTCAAATATCTGTTTGCTGCTATGTAATGGTATTTAAGCAGCTGCTCTCTTGATCCGATGCATGGATCTGGCAGAAATCTTCCTCAATGTGCTTTTATCTGCACAAACCCGTCTGTGCTCTGAATGAACCACAAATCTCTTAATAGTGCGATGATCACGCTTAATGGACCACTCTAGGCACCCAGACCACTTCAGCTTAATGAAGTGGTCTGGGTGCCAGGTCCAGCTAGGGTTAACCCATTTTTTTTATAAACATAGCAGTTTCAGAGAAACAGCTCTGTTTATAAATGGGTTAATCCTTCCTCCAATTCCTCTAGTGGCTGTCAATGAGACTCAAATCACAGTGAGAGCACGCAAGCGTCCATAGGAAAGCATTATGAATGCTTTCCTATGAGACCGGCTGAATGCGCGCGCATTCAGCCGAATGGGCGGAGAGGAGGAGGATCGGAAGAGGAGAGCTCCCCGCCTAGCGCTGGAAAAAGGTAAGTTTTAACCCCTTTCCTCTCCCCAGAGAAATGAGTGTTTTCCTGGCACTATAGTGGTCCTTGAAGTGAAATGTTTTCATACCTCGTCCAAGGCATTGAACTATCTCGCTCTTTTCGGCAGCAGAGAGATTCTTTTTCTTCCCCATATTGCATGAAAATGGTGCTCTGCTTAATAATGTGGAACACCCTCTTTTAGTAGTTTTTCCTTAAATTGGGCTCACCTGGCTATCTAATTATCATGTGTTGGAACTGAAAAACTAAATATTTAATCTTTGTGACACTTAAATAGAATTTGCATAATAATTTGTAACAGGGTGTATGTAGTCACCCCTTCCTGACTTCTCCAACACTCCTGCGGGTATGGTTCAAATAACAATCTGGGGGGAGGGGGGGATTAAGATGGTGTAATATCAGGCGAGAAGCCTCCACCATACACATCCTATGTGGAGATCTTGCTTTGTGAGAGTGCACTGTACCAGGTCCCAGTTAAAGGGACACTCCAGGCACCCAGACCACTTCTGCCCATTGGAGTGGTCTGGGTGCCAACTCCCACTACCCTTAACCCTACAAGTGTAATTATTGCTGTTTTTTATAAACTGCAATAATTACCTTGCAGGGTTAACTCCACCTCTAGTAGCTGTCTACTAGAGGGCACTTCCTGGTCCATAGCTCTGTGCTAGAGCGTCGATGTAGATCTTCCCGCTGTGTGAGGACCTCCAGCGTCGCTCCATTCACCATAGGAAAGCATTGAAAAACATTTTCAATGCCTTCCTATGGAGAGCTCTAATGCACATGCGCTGCATTGCTGCGCATGCGCATCAGGTCTCCGCGGGCAGGATCAGCCTTGCCCACCGGCTGACGTAATGAGGAGGAGCGGCGGCAGTGGTGACCCGAAACCACCGCCGAGGGACCCCCAGGAGTGTTGGAGAAATATGGAAGGCATGACTGCATACTTGGTGTGGACTATACGATTAAAAACTATAAGTTTCAGGAATATATATATAGATATATAGATGCAAAAATTATTTCACATTTTAATTTTCCCAATTTTGTGCGCTAACTCATTGGTTTAATACATTGGATGTTTGATTCTGATATATAGGGGAGAATTAGAGGATAGCAGCACAGATTTTGTTAATTATCATTTTAAAGGGATAACTATTTTATATTCTTCAAGGGGAAAGCGCCTCAGATTTTTTAATATTAATATTAAATGTGCTGATCGCAATAATAAGACATGATTGAAAATGATTCATAATGTCTTGCATTTATTACTAATGAATGAAGTGCTGACCTGTACCTCTCTCTGAGGCATTAAAAAGGTGAAAATGCAAAAGGAATGGCGCTGTCCTTGTATAGCTTGAACTCCTCTGCAAATTGCCAGCCGCCCAGTGTGTGAAGGTAGTGGGTACTCAATGCCTCCATTTTTTTAAATTTATTTTTTTTCAGTGTTCAGGCTGGGTAAAAGAAATTCAGGACATGAGAGCTGTGTAAGGAAGCTAAACACTTATTCCATGGCGTCTCCTAATCCTAAATTGTTGATGAGCAGAGCACAGCACAGCCTGCTGTGTCTACATACCGGTTGCACTGGTATGGAAAATACACTAAAAATATAAAACCTATGGGTATGTTAAATGTCCCTCCCAGGGTTGTGTCTCTACCCATTCTTCTGGCTCTTCCCCATCACAGTGTCTGAGCTCTGTACGTACAGCTTTGGGGAGGGATGGCTAAGGAGGCATGATGTATACCTATAAGAAAGGAACAGAAACAAAAAAACAAGGTTATGCATAGTTGATGTTTCAGTTTTCTTCTCAGACGTTGTCTTGGTGCCCACAGTGTCCCTTTAAACTGACAAAGTGTTTTGGTTCAAGAAAATGTGCTGCATTAAAACATACCTGTATATTTGTGAAATCCGTTTTACTGACCATGCTACTACTGCCCGTCCGGTCCGCATTAGCCCTTGTCAGTGCTGTTGGAAGAATGAGTGCCTTCCACCGGTCAGTGACATTTGTTCTGTATATAAATTCTGTTCAGGTTACTTGGCTAAGCTCTTTGCCACTGATACTCTGTAGAACACTTCCTTGTTGTAGGTTCCTTTTTGAATAGGGCAGATATTCTGCTTTACACTATTTCATGGTGGTTCCAAGCACCAAGTAAAATGCTATCAACTCAAAAAGGTATTAATTTCATCAACATCTTGAGGATGTGCACTGTTAAATGATTTATTATAAGGAAGTTAGAAAACTGACCTTATAAAACTGACCTAGTGTGTGCATGTGTATATATTATCATCCTAGTGCAGATAAAAACCAAAGGATCATAGTTTAGCTTTAAAAAGTGTAATTCAGTGGTTGACAATGAGAAGTTTTATAAAGGTACTATTTAGCTAAATATATTACAGAGGAACCTTGGCATTTGGTGGATTATGCAAACTTACTTTTATTTTTTATTTATATGAACTTGTAAAATAATAGTGAATAAAGCTATTTTTTATTTTGACCGATTATGCAACCAGGACATTTTTGGGATCTAGTATATAATATATGTTTAAGTCAGGAGTCAATTTGTGGCTCTACAAACAGATGGCCCGTAAGTATCTTACAGATTAGTTGAGCTAAGTATATATGACCCTTAATCTGCAGTTTGCCTGAAGGACCTATATATCTGAATCAACTGGCAATAAGTGTTGTGTTCAATTTCTATTATCCTCCATTAAAGTTTATATTTGTATTTATTTTTTTGTTGCTTTACTTTCCTTGACAATCCTTTCAGAAACTGGAGCAGCTCAATCAGTTTCCAGACTTCAATAACTATCTAATTTTTGTTCTCACGAAGTTAAAGTCTGAAGGTAAGAACTTCTGGATTTGACATTCAGTTTACATTGCTGAACTCTTTAATTCCATTTAACTACATGTGCCCAGAGTGTGAACTTTGGGACACAAATAGTGTCAGCACTGTTTATTGTACTGTTTGTGAACTGCTGAGTTTCTGGCATTCTCTCTAATTGTGTTGGGTCTGGCAAGGGTTATTCATGATAGGTTTTTGTGAGTTTATGCATTTTATTTATTTGCAGGGTGGGTGGGGGGAGGGAGTAATACACACTTGAGATTTATCCACTAACCAACATTTTGCTTTTTGTCAATTTGCAATATGTTGGATAAAATCAGTTTGAAAATCCAATTGTCTTATCCACCATCTTCATCTTGATTTTTGACATAAATATGCAACTTTGTATTGAGAACTCCAGCGCACATTGGTGAAGAACACCAATCTTTCTCAATGTAAAAAAATAGTTGACCTCTACAGTAGAGCAGGTACAATCCATTTGTTTAAAGCTGTGCCACAGCAAAGGTCCTTATAACTCACCCTCATATTAATGCCTCTTCTAAACTCACATGGTGAATTGAAAGTCAATGCAACGTGTGTGGATAACCACACCACTTCTGGGTAGGTATACATGAACACTTCAAGCACCATAATTACTACAACCTGCTGTAGTGTTTATGGTGCTGCCCCACGGTAAGTAGTCAAATTGTTTAAAGGACCACTATAGTGCCAGGAAAACATACTCATTTTCTTGGCACTATAGTGCCCTGATGGTGCCGCCCCCTCCCGCCGGGCTCTAGGGGGTGGAAGGGGTTAAATTTACCACTTCAGCGCCGGGCGGGGAACTCTCTTCCTCCTCGGGTGAATGTGCATGCGCGGCAAGAGCCGCGCGCACTCAGCCAGTCCATATTAAAGCATTCTCAATGCTTTCCTATGGACGCTGGCGTCTTCTCACTGTGAAAATCACAGTGAGAAGCGCAGAAGCGCCTCTAGCGGCTGTCAACGAGACAGCCACTAGAGGCTGGATTAATCCTATTATAAACATAGCGGTTTCTCTGAAACTGCTATGTTTATAGAAAAAAGGGTTAATCCTAGCTGGACCTGGCACCGGCAGCCAGACCACTTCATTGAGCTGAAGTGGTCTGGGTGCCTATAGTGGTCCTTTTAAGTCACTGATGTCACTGCTGAGCCTGACTGACAGAAGGACCATGGTCATTGGCTGACACTCTCGGCCAATAAGCTTTTTTTCCTTTTGGGTTGCGCTTTGTGCTACACCGCTTCCCCTAAAAGTCACAAAAGCATTGGTGGCAGCTGTGAATGACCAGCAGGACTTGGGTAAATTGTCACACCATAGTAAACTGGTTTGATAGTTTACCATGGGATGACACCATAATCACTACATCCTGTTGTAGTGGTTATTGGAATTGGAGTGTTCCTTAAATATATACCATGGGTTTGTCAAATAAAACAAATTGAGTTCCACTTTTTTTTTTTATTTAAAATTTTAATGTAAAATATGTATACTATTGCATAACAAAAACAATAACTTTACAACTGCATTTCCAATCCATCTGGAAGATAATTTTAGATTCCAGTTTGGTGTGCTGCATTTAATCAAATTACTAAATGCATTTATGTACCTACAGAGTTTCTCATTATTGTCAGTGAAATGCAAATCACAGAAGTGATGCGTATATTGTCTTGCATTTGTAAGAAGCTGGATATATCTGGTGAAATGCAAGTTTTACTCGAAGCCTGCTGTAGTGGTTGCGATACTAGAAATACCTTTTTACTGTTAACTGGGCAAACAACCGTTTTCAGAATGTCTGGATCCCACCATGCACTGAGATTCCCTCAAAGATGGCTGAACGACATATGGTGTCTGCAGAAGCTGGGATGCAGTTCCTGTCATCCATTTTTTTTTCTGGCATTTGGTGGCAGTACATGTGGGTTTTGCTTCTTTCCTGTGGACAAGCATCTAACAAGATTAATTAAGTTAACAAACCACTCCCCCTTGCCCTATAAAAGGGTTATCCGGCAAAACCTACCCCAGTTTCCTTTCTTGTCCCGAGAGGGAAGGACACAGCATCTAGATGGTGAGACACACAGGCTGCTGGTCTGGGGGATCCGGTCCGAGAGCTGCCCGGGTGGTAGGCTGAGAGACCATGCTTCCGACCGGTAGGTTACGGAGCAAGTGGAGATGTGATTCCTTTTATGCCGAGAAGGGTTCCGGCAATACTCCCAGGAGGCGGAGTTTATCCGTCGCACAGCAGTGGAACGCATGCCTGGGTGGTGCTGTGTTCCACCTAAGCTTCCGGTTTCGCTAGTACGCATGTGCAAACCGAACCTTTATAAAAAACAAAAAAAAAGCCAAAATCTAAGCTGTGCAGGTACCCACTGACAGCAGGGATGCTTGTCAGAAGAGGTACTCCGTGTCACCAACCCCCACACAGCTCAGAGGTATTTTAAGGTAAGATTAACTAATCTTTATTTAAAATTATCTCTGTAAAGTTTATACACGTAAATTACAAGGAAAAAATGAAGACTACGAGGAAAGGAGTGGTAATAAAAAAGATGATTTTTGCAGTACTGCTATGGACAGGGTGGTTCTTCACCTTACAAAACTTCCTTTTTTTTTTTCCTTCAAGTCAACCGATTGTGTCTGCTTTCCCTTGCGTGGTTGTCCCACTTATCTTCGGGAGCTTTAAGAGTTTTTTTTTTTCTTGGACCATTGCAAGGTTTTTCTTCCTAGGACTGAGGAGCTCAGGTATTCTGGCCTGTTGTTTGTTAACCTCCAGTGTAGATTCCAGGGGTACAGAGCTTCCTGCAAAAAAACTTTGGTTTAAATTGACTTAGACGAGCAAGTAGAATGGCATATTTTTCCGGTGGTCCTTAAGTGCGATATCTCTTACGGCTCTTTTCACTCAGGGTAATGGGTAGAACTCTTGTTTCTCCAGTAGATGTCTGTAGGGCAGCATCTTGGGCTGCCTTTCCACATCTTCGTTATTCTCTACTGGCTTGAGATATTCGCCTCGCAAACTGTCTTTGTGCATAAAGTTTGCGAGCTGTACTAGCATTGGACCCACCCGGTTGGGGTATCTTGCTATATCTCACATGTACTGCCACCATACGCCAGAAAAAAATGAAATTTTTACTTACCGTAAATTCTTTTTTTCTTAATATGGTGGCAGTACATGTGGGTTTTGCTCCTTTCCTGTGGACAATCATCTAACAAGATTAATTAAGTTAACAAACCCCTCCCCCTTGCCCTATATAAGGTCTATCCGGCAAAACCTACCCCAGTAAGTAGAAGAAGAAACAAAAAACAACCTAAAAAAATAAAATATATATTTTTTTTTTTTAGGTTGTTTTTTGTTTCTTCTTCTACTTACTGGGGTAGGTTTTGCCGGATAGACCTTATATAGGGCAAGGGGGAGGGGTTTGTTAACTTAATTAATCTTGTTAGATGATTGTCCACAGGAAAGGAGCAAAACCCACATGTACTGCCACCATATTAAGAAAAAAAGAATTTACGGTAAGTAAAAATTTCTGTTTTTAACTGAGAGCATCAGCAGAATGCTCTCAGCCAACGGATGGAAATCTGCACAGAATTAACATTCGTCAAGTTTGAATTTTCGTTTTTGGCTGGTTATCGACTCAGCTGTAGATGGCGTTACACCTCCGACAGCTAGGCTAAAATATCTCTGTATGTGCAGTGTTACACATAAAGGGTTCTTGCAACATGACTACTCCAAAACACTTAAGTGATCATAGTGTTTGGGATTAACCCTTCTAGCAAAATTCGGGATTATTCTAACTCTTAGTGACCGAATAATCTAAATTTTATTAAAGACAGGAGGCGAATATTTGCTTATCTTTCTTTACTGTAACTCCCAGCAGCAAAGAAACAGTTAGCAGTGTAAAAAAGTTTAACCAATCAGTATGCATTACAGTAAAATAAACTGTCATCAGGCTCCTCCCAATTCCTCTTTCTTGATGTAGCCGAACAGTCGTAGAGTCAACCATGTAAATGTAGAACCATTAAAAACTATGAACAGGTAACGGTGTAGGTATCCGGTAGGATGAAGGTAGTGATCAACCAGCAGGTAGATTTGAGACAGAAGGCAAGTGATCTTCACACTAGGAGGAAGGAGAAACATCGTGAAAGTATGGTCTCGTTGGCAAGAGGAAAAAACAAATTAAATGCATTGAACTGACTTCCAATTTAAGTGCAAGCTCTAACTTATGATAATTAACTGTGTGGTTTGTAGAGTAAGTGACATACCTAGAATATAATAACCAATGTACAATTGAAAGCGGGTTTAGCATATAATAACGACCTAATGAGTATAGGCTAGAGAAAAGAGAGGATGTTAGTCATAGTTAGACCTGGAGATAGTACAGGATACTTACCTAGAAGGGTGGGTAAAGAGAATCCAGGGTGGGAAAATATTCGCCTCCTGTCTTCAATAAAATTTAGCTTATTCGGTCACTAGGAGTTAGAATAATCCCGAATTTTATGGCAAGACAGGAGGCTTCATATTTGCTATTTTAACACACAGATAGCAAGGACAGAGAAACGTGTGGAGAATGTCTAAAATAAAAGGTACGGAAGGTGGATTCTCTAGACCAATCAGCGGAGGATAGAATTTCCGCTAAAGAACCTCCAGCTATGAGTGCCGAGGAGGCAGCTGCGCCTTTAACCGAGTGAGCCCCGAAAGATGCATCAATGCCAGCCAGGGCTAGAAGCCATTTAATCCAACGTGCAATGGTAGGGCACGAGACTGGTTTGTGAGGTTGTACATAAGATACCAGGAGGGGCCCAGTAGGTGCTCTGAGAGGGGTAGTGTGAGCGATATAGTGTCTTAAACACTGGGCTACGCAGAGGAGGTGTTTCTCCGAGAAGTAAGGGTAGCTCACAGTAGATGAGTTGGTCTTGGTGCGTCTAGTGATATGAAAGTGTACCCCCTCCGGTGTGAAATCGAGGGCATGAAAGTCGAAAGCCCTGATGTCGGAAACTCTTCGGAAGGAGACCAAGCAAAGGATTAGAGCTAATTTGGCTGACAATTGGCATAGGGAGAGCGCCTCGTTGTCCGGCCAAGCTTCCAAGAACGTAAGCATGATGGCCACGTCCCAGAATTGATTATATTTGGGATTCGGGGTCTAGCGATGCGGATGCCCCGTAAGAGTCTACAGACAGAAGGGTGTTTGCCTACTGAAGAACTTTCGATAGGAACTTGCGCTGCAGAAATAGCAGACCGAAACACGTTAATGGTCCGGTAGGATTTACCCTGGTCGAACAGACGACAGGAAATTGATAATATTAATTATAGATGTTTGAAAAGGGATCAAGGTCCCTTTCCAAGCACCAGCAACTCCATAGGCGCCATGCAGAGATGTAAGAGCGTCTGGTTCCTGGGGCCCATGAATCCCAAAGGAGTCCCTGAGCAGTTGTCGAAAAGCCTGAGACATTCCAAGATCCCCTGAAACGGTCCAAGCCACTAGTTGGAGATGATCCTGGATTGCCAATGGGTGAAAGTTGCCTGTCGGGTCTCTGAGGAGGTCGCAGGTGTTGGGTAACAGCAGGGGGAATTTTGTATTGGTTCGACTGAAAACTCCAGGTGGAACCCGGACACCGTCTGAAGGATCCAAGGATCTTGAGTGAGTTGAGACCACTGTTGGGGAAAAAAGGGTTAACCGGCCTGCAATAGGAATATGAGAATAAGGAAGGTCCATTACCTGTAACAGTGCGACCGTGGAGGGAAGCGGATCCACGTCCTCGGATAGCTCCGCGAGAGGGAAAAAATTGCCTGTGGTGGAATCGGGTATTGCCCGAGTTCCAGGTGTCTGAAGGTCGAGGCCTGTAGCCTGTGTGACGGAGCCACATTCTACAGTATTTGGCAATGTGGTCCGATCTAGGGTGCCTGATGCATCTAGGGTCAAATAAAGGGCGGCCAGAGGTGTCAAATAAGGTATCCTTATTTATATAAGTTAGGGTTTTCAGAGGTGAGATCAGACTCCAATTGGAATTCCTCTAGAATCGCAGAATCGGAAGGGTAAAGGTCTCGGAATGTCTTATGAGGCGAAGCCTCAGTATCCGAGTGTTCTGCGTAGTATTCGTCTAATACTTGGAGATTATAATTAGAGGTTGAACCCTCAAATGCGTCAAAATCATAGGTGGTGGTGGTTTGCTTGGGTTTAGAATAGGGCACTTTAGGGTGTTTAGCAGGCGCTTTGCCTTTACCGGCGGTGGCGCTATCGCCCTTCCAAGGGCATTTGCGAGGGGCTTCTTCATGCTCTGAAGCGTGAGAATCCTCGGAGTCTGAGAGTTGGGTAATGGTCGCCGTAGGGGCTGGGATTGTCTGCTCGCGGAAAGCTGCTAAAGCGAACGGCTTGCCGCGGTTCGCCACAAACCGTTCGCCACGAACGGTTCGTGGCGAGCTCCGGTCAGCTGACACATCCCGGCCACTCTCCAGCAGACCCTCCCACCTCCTGGACAGCATCCATGTTGAAGGATGCTGTCCAGGAGGTGGGAGGGTCTGAGGGAGGGTCTGCTGGAGATTGGCCGGGATGTGTCAGCTGACCGGAGCTCGCCGCCGTTCGCGAACAGTTCGCGACATCTCTAGTTCTGGCACATCCGACATAATGTCAGTAACAATGGGGTCACCACAAAAGAAAATAATTATATTTACAATATATATAAAATGTTTTTTTTTTTAATTTGTTTTTTTTTTTTTTGTGTGTGTGCAGACAAACTAATTACAATGAGGCGGTGGACTTAGACTGCGTGTAAAAAAGCAGGAGAGCAATTATCCTGTAACAGTGGGGTTCGTCCACAATTTATCTCTCTGGGGTTCACCCAGAGAGAGATGGACAATACAGTGTCCAAGATCTAATAACAGGTATGTGCCTGTGTTCTCATATAGGGATTACCCTGTATAGAGGAAGCAAAGGGGGTCACCCTTGAAGGAGAGGCTAGAGGGGGTCACCCTTGAAGGAGAGGCTAGAGTGGGTCACCCTCAGAATTAAGCAAGGATTTGTTTAAGCTGTGTTGGTAGTTAAGCTGAATTCTGCAAGAAAAAATTGAAATTTTGAGTATTGGGTATGTATCTTTAATTTTTTAAACTAAAGGGTCTGGGGCTTTAAGAGGTAAAAAATATACTTACCAAATGGCTGGGTTGCGTTCTGCAGTGAGAGCCGAAATGCGAGGGAACCGCCGCGCATAAGCCTACCACAAGATGGCGCTGAGAGGGAAGCCCGGGAAAAAACTGATAGAAATGGCCGCGGCATGAAAAAAGGCGGGACGCGTCTCTATGGAGACGCCAGGGCAACAGACATAGTGTGTGAGGAAACTGAGCGGACCGGCAAGATGCCGGGCGCTGCGGGGAAAGTGTTAGTAATTAAACTGACAGTACAATAAAATAAGAGTGAAGAAATGTGAGGTAATTTGAATTTGTGGGCTGACTGGAGTGTCAGCCCATGCAACCTAAGTAAATAGAAGCAAAAGCACAGAAACAGATAAGGAAAACTGTATGAAAAATATTAAAATATACAATATATATTAGTCAGCTAAAATAGAGCATTAATAGGAGTATAATTAGAATAGACTCACCTGGGAGGCTAAGCAGCAAAGAAAGAGGAATTGGGAGGAGCCTAATGACCGTTTATATTACTGTAATGCATACTGATTGGTTAAACTTTTTTACACTGCTGTTAACTGTTTCTTTGCTGCTGGGAGTTACAGTAAAGAAAGATAAGCAGATATTCGCCTCCTGTCTTGCCATAAAATTATAAAAGACAATACTAGCCTTCCTTGCTTGTAATAAACAGGTTTTTTGTTTTAAACTTTTCTCCTACAAGGGGTTACAAATATATTTCCTTGCATTCCAAGACTACCTGAAATTGCATATAGTTGTAGTGCTTCTAAATTTCAACTGAACGATCCTTCTGATCTGCTTGACATAATTCATTGTTTACGCCATGCAACATTTCCTACTCCTTCAATATTTTTTTTAAAGAGTGTGATGCATGTTTTGAATTCCAACATCTAGAGACAAATCAGCTGAAAAGGTGGGGCCTCTATAGGGAGCTTTGGCACTCTTATTGTATAAAAGAACTTTGTCACACCCCTTTACATTCACAGCTTGCATAAGTATAGAAGGCAGCTGCCACTTTCTGTGTATAAAACAAAACTTAAATAACACTGTGGGAATTCAATGCACCTAACATTTGTAGCATAATGAACACTCTCTAACTTTAAAAATATGTTTTCTGTTTAGCTTGACCCTGTCCCCATTTATTTCAGTGCTGTGAGATTCTCCTTGGAGCAGCTGTTCCATCTCACTCAAAGTATAAATCAATAAATATTACTTTTGTCCAATACAATGTTTCTCATACAGAAATCACATGCCTTTTTGTTTTCCTCTTAATTTCATGACTAAGATCCTCTAGTGTCTTTGTGTGACAGCTGCTGGAGGTGTATTCTCGGAAACAGCAATGTTTTACATTGCCTTAAAACGGGAATAAAAAGTGTCCCTTTTAGTCTGTTACAAATAATCATCAAAACCAGATCACTTTTATTTACCACTATGTAAATTTATATAGCTCTATAAATAGATCAAGTCACTTTAAACAAGAGCTGTCACTTCAGAGGGGTCGGCACATTACAATTTTCTTAATTTTTTTAAATTTTTTTAAATATCTGTATTGTCCATATACCGTGTCTTGTTCCTGTAGCTCAAGCTGTTGTCTGCAGGTGCCAACATAGTCTTCAGCTCTTGGTGGTTTGTCCTCCAGAAGCCATGCCTGTGTTGTACCCCGGCATGACCATCTTTAGAGTATCCTGTGAGACTGCGGGAGCGTCCATATACCTGATTCCCACAGCTGTTACTAGCGAGAGCTGGGGGAATGGAGGAAACCTGGTGGTTGAGGTTCAATATTTTTTCAAGGTTTTATTAAATTCAGTGAAATTGTAATATCAATGAGATTCCTCCACAGTCAATATATGAATTGCATAGTCTATCAAATACACAAAATGTGTCTTATTTATTTATTAATGTGACAGTCTTTGAGCTGGTACACTTAGAAAGCAGCATATCATTCTGGTCCTTGAGAACTGATCACATAGAATGAATGGAAAATACATTCTAAGCTGATGGCTGCCATCATTTCATAGTGTTTAGTCTGTGTCTAAATAGCTCTGGGGGGTTGTTTATAGCCACAGTGATATTTACAAAAAACCAAAAACTCTGTACCTGTAACTTGGCAATCAAAGCTTGCCACACAGAGCTGCCCTGGAAAGGAGGAGAATCATAAAGAGCTCCTTTATATCATTTATCTTTATAATTATATATTCATTGCTCTACATATTATGTGTTGTCATAGCAGGTTTATTTAAAGCAGGATTTCCTCTTGACTATAGAAGCTCATGGAGAGTTGACATCTCTTTCACAATGCATATTCAGCTAGATAATCCAGTAAGAGTGTTTTGCTAGAATTGCCTTTGCTGTCCTAGTGCACTCCCTACCCCACCCCAAATGTAAAAAAATAATAAAGCTAAACATACCTCTATTCTAACTTGGAAGACAAGTTCTCATGGCAGACCTAACCTGCTATGATGTCACTCCCACTAACTAGCTGGAGGGAGGTTCCTGTCAGGTAGGAGAGCTGGGGGAGGGGGGGGGAGGAGGAGTTAAACCTCTGGAAACAGAAAAGTTAATGCTGCGTATAGAAACTCCAGATACCATCACTACTTAAAATCACTGAAGTGGTAAGGGTGTTTGGAGTTATCCTTTAAGTTTTTTTTAATGAGCATTACATGCAAAGTGAACCTTAAGACATTTCATTTTCAAGCAGAATGTTTGCTTTGGACCTGTGCACCTTGTCTAACACTTAATAAATGTTTCAGCAAAAATGACCTTTTAGAAGAAACTCCTTGAAGCCTTTGCATATTAAATTTGCAACAAAGTGGATATTATATATTTTGTTTCCTTGTTAGATTGTAAAAGTGGCACTCATGGAATACCTGTACCAAGAGGGAAGTGTGGGTGTGCCTGTATTAATGGGGAGCCAGTACTACTTTATTCACTAGCGCAAAGCTTTATGTTCTGCCACGTATAGTGCATATTTTAAACCTTCCCAAAATTTAAGTTATTAAAATCATACCAGAAAGCTTTTATTACTTTTTCAATGAGCTATACTAAAAAAAAAATGTATTCAGGTTCAGCTAATACGTACACCTATGTTTATGATAAAGTAATGCCAGAAAGTCAAAAGCATCTACTAGCGTGAGCGATCTCCTGACAAGGCTGTCCCTGCTTGGAGAAGTGTTCGCTAGCAGTGCTAGCCATGGCAGAGAGGATGTAGACGTGCTGTTCCAATATCATGGCAGTAATGGAGAAAAAGGTATTTGCCTAATTTTAAATTTGCTGTTAAATGTATCATTTAGCACCAGCAGTGTAATGATATTCACTTAAGTAAAATCTTTTTACTGTAAGTTTAATGTCCTATTTTGATACATAGGTGAAATTAGTCACTACAAAACAGGGCTTACATGGATTCTCTGGATATAATCTGTAGGCAGCTTATGAAATATTTGTTTAAACTTGACTTAGTAAAACTATAGGCATTGGATTTTAATTTATAATTCTCTTGCAGATGAACCCACACGATCTTTGAGTGGATTAATATTGAAAAATAATGTAAAGGCACATTTTCAGAACTTTCCAAATGGGGTAACGGATTTTATTAAAAGTGAGTGCTTAAATAACATCGGAGATTCTTCACCATTAATCCGTGCAACTGTAGGTAAGTTCCTCTACTGTATGATATTTTGTTTATGGCAAATGTTCTGTTTTTTTTTTTCTTTTTTTTTTTTCTCCCTCACTCTACTTACGCTATGCAAGCAGCCAGCTCTTCCGCCGTAGGTAATGAAGATTTGGATAAGCAACTTTGGCTGCCCAAGCTGTTGTAAACTTTTGACTCTTGTGACACTCTGTCATTAACTGCTCTTCTTGAGCTAGGGACTTGCTAAAGTCAACTGATCATATTGTAACGGAACTGTGCAGTGGTGCTACCTTTGTTTTCTCCTGGGCAATCTTGGTTTGTGCTTCTCTGCATTCATGTTTTTGGTTACTGAACCGTACTTTATATCATATGCAGGCTGTGTTGTGATTGGGCATCTGAGTATAATTTCTACAACAGCTGCATTTAAAAAAACAAAAAAAAGGCGATAAAGAGGTGATGGTGCTTGAAAAGCCGTGGGTGTGCCCCTCAAATAATTAGTCAAATTGTTTAACTTAATACTTTGGGTCAGTATGGGGCCTGCCTCTTTAGCTCATTGGAGTCATCCAATGAGCAGGGCTTAGCTCAGGAAAGCTTCTAGCAGGTGCATACAGCATATCATGGTGGACTCCAGGTAAAGGGGGGAGTGGACTATAGTAGCTATGGTTCTTGGAACATTCGTTTAACATCTTGCGTATGAATAATAGGAGACCCATCAAGTTAATGTCATAGAACGTGATCCAAAACTGCTAATATGATTTTATTTTGCATGTCAAAATATTTTTAAATGGTTTCACAAAACCAAAATCTACACACTGCAGTAGTGAGCTTCCATAGCAGCCTTCCCATTGTGATATCCTGACAAAAGTGTTTTCAGCCGACCATTTACACAGTGATCCAGCAATCACTGCAATGGTCTGCAAACATGTTAAAACAAGATGCAAGAAGTGAACTCTTCCATTCATCTAGCCATTAAAATATCCTCGCTGGATCAGGCTCATCCAAGATAAAGATGTATTTTACCCTTGAAATCCTGCAGAATGAAAACTTATACATTACACTGTAAACAATTACTCAACCCGAGATTTTAACTCTCTTGTTTTACTTTTAGGCATTTTGATTACTACAATTGCCTCTAAAGGAGAGTTGCAGAATTGGCCAGAGCTTTTACCAAAGTTGTGCAGTTTGTTGGATTCTGAGGATTACAACACATGTGAGGTAATTCTGCTCGGCATGAATTAATTTAATGCCCAAACATTCCCTTGTCTACCTAGAAAACTGGTGCTTCTTTCTGGAATCAATTGAATTTATTTTCTACACAATGTTTCCTTAATGGCTTTCAAACGCTGTCCTTTCAGGTTTTGTTGGACCAGAATTCTTTGACATACTGATTGTAGACTGAGTATAATGGGAATTGATCCAAAGGCCAGAAGGTTGAATTTAGTTCGATTATTAGAAATTCTCATTCACTGTACTGAAAGTGACGCTGCTTTTGGCAGTTTCTGGTTCCTGCTGCCGCAGTGCATCAAAGTACTAGTTTCATAGGCATTCAGAGAGGCTCCATTTTGGGGCTAATGATTGCAGTCACAGCCACTCTTGATTGACCTAAAGAGTGATTTAGTGCTTCTGAGTACTGGATTCTATACCATAAACCTCTGAATTTTCAAATTGTAGCCCTTGAAAGTGCATTAATTACATGTATAAAAAAATCCCCCATATCTACTCTCTGACTACACTGAAAAACTTCTACTAACGAGACTTTATATGGGTGTCTTTGGCTACAATATAGTCTCAATTTGAATATACAATATATGCTTACACCGCCACTAAGTAATTAGCTTTTTGGCAATATGGTAAACCTATTTTCCCTGACAAAACTGCAAATTCACTATATCAAAGACCGACACCAATAATATATTAATCATATAACAATATTTTATATATTTTTATTCACCTTCTAATGAGCAGTTTCCTTTCAAGTACATAACACTCTAAAATCATGAAATAGTATTATTAAAACACAAATACTGTGAACCTTTAAAATCAGATGAAAGCTCCACTATTAAATGTCATTCAACTGAGAGGAGAATAACAAAGAAGTTGGTAAATTGGCAGCAGCAATTCTAATGTTACTCTATTATAAGCGCGTATATAATAGACAAACCAACGACTGCTGTAAAATGAAGAGACTGTGAAAATATTGATGGAAGAGACTGGAAGGCTGGAGAGGGTTTGGGGTTAGAGAGGCATGTTCTCCATGGTCATACCACCAACATCTGGCCCGTGGAGGTGTGTCTGAAACAATCATGAGGTATCCGTTCATTAAGAGGCTGCTGACTGAGAACGTATCCGTTCCTTGGGGGTCTTCTGACTGAGAATGGCAATTGAGAGCAGTATTCACAAAATAGAAAGGATTCACTCATAACAGCCCATCTTTTGAGAAACTGATAAGGTTTATGGGTTATTTCACTTTACAAAATTTCTACAGGTAAACGTACAAGTTCTAGGAGAGTATGCCTTTCTGTTGACCTGTAACTTGTCCCTTTGTCTAAATGAAAACCCTCTAATTTCCAGGTCACATGGAGGGAGCAAGATACTAATGTGCCAAGTTTTGCAGCTCCTTATTAATCAGACCGGTCATATGCAGTTCATGCATATGATGACAAAAACAACTTACTTAAAGCATCATAAGCACTACAGCCCACTGTACCTGGTCCGGTCCCCTGATAATGGGGTAAACCTTTTTAAAATGGTTTGTATTACCTGGGTCCTCACTGAGCTCTCAGGCTCCCTGGTAGTCCAATGATGTCCATCTGTAGAAACTGGAAGCCACGGCCGTGACATTCATTGGCTTACTGCGTCAGTTGAAACTGACTAACATTCTGGGCTTGCTGATGACACCAATGGCAGCTAAGAGGTTAATCTGTGTATGTGTGCTCTGAGGAACCATCTAATGCAACAATGTAATTATCATCATTTCATGAGTTCACAGATGTCCAGAATGAACGGGTTTATTTTCATCTTATATTCGGTGATTACTCCTTTGTCTATCCTGTCATATATGCCATGGGAGGTGCCAATCCTTTATATATTTAATTGAGGACTTGACAACTTTTGTACAGAATCTAGGAGTCAGAAGAATAAAAAATAGCCAAATTTTATTTATTCATTTTTGTTTTGCATTTTGGATTTTTTTGACATTTCACACACCAGAAAACAAAGGTCCTGACATGAACTGCCTCCTTCCTGACATCATCAGACATGATGAACTCAGCCAATCACAATGCTCTTCCTTAGTAAAGCATTGGTTTGGCTCAGATTGTCAATTCTGATGATCTCAACCAAGGAGGCAGGCTGGGGGTGGAACCAGATGCATCGCTGGCCAATTGGCATCTCCTCATAGGGGAAAGTTCGGTGTCTCCATGCAGAGGGTGGCGACCCTGAATGTGTGTAGCACTGCGCCAGGAAGCACCTCTACTAGCCATTTGAGGAGTGGACACTGGAGGTTTCACTAGACTATAATGGAAACACTGCCTTTTCTCTAAAAAGGCAGTGTTTACTGGAAAAAGCCTGCAGGGACAGGCTATACCCACCAGAACAACTACATTAAGCTGTAGTTGTTCTGGTAACCATAGTGTCGGCTGTATATGTATTTTTGAGAAATTGCCTCTTTTGGTTTTCATTCCTACGTTGCAGAAAAATAACCCTATTTTGTACCGAGGTGCTCTCCCTAACAGTATTCCTGTAGCAATATCATGGTGACCAAGACTCTAAAAATGCTTATTTGGAACTTCAAGGGCCATAGGTAAACTTCCTTTCAGTTTCACTCATTCTATATGGCTGTAAAAGGCTTAGAGTGGTGGTACAGCCATCTGTATTGGTGGGAGGGAGGGGGGAGAATAGAAAGAAGGGCAACTATGTAAAACCAGTACACCTCTATATCAGAGACCTCTGAATGTAAGCATGTGTTTAATTACTTGTAACAAATCTTTTTCTAGATATTTTAAAAGAAAATGCTACCAAGTAGAATTAGCAGATTCATTAAATGGACTGTCTACCAAAATAAATGCTGAAACATTTTTCAAGTTACTGGTGCTGGGGGTGGATGGAGGATATTGTTTGTGCCATTTAAATTTTCATTAAATGTTTGCAGTGCTTTTGTATGTAATCAGTACCTGTCACTGAATTTTAAAAAACACTAGCAAGCTGACTACCTCCTACTGTCAGAAATGTTAGATTGTTAGACACGTAGTAATTATGGCCATATTAACTCATCTTTGTTGGCAAATGATGATAAATCTTTATGGGAATCTCTTTTAAAGTGACTTATGTAGAGAAATGTTAATCTGACAGAGCAACATTAAACTTAAAGGACCACTGTAGTGCCAGGAAAACATACTCGTTTTCCTGGCACTATAGTGCCCTGAGGGTGCCCCCACCCTCAGGGTACCCCTCCCGGCCGGCTCTGGAAAGGGGAAAAGGGGTTAAACTTTTTTCCAGCGCTGGGCGGGGAGCTCTCTGCCTCCTCTCCTCCTCCGATCCGCCCCGTCGGCTGAATGCGCACGCGCGGCAAGAGCTGCGCGCGCATTCAGCCGGTCACATAGGAAAGCATTCTCAATGCTTTCCTATGGACGCTGGCGTGCTCTCACTGTGAAAATCACAGTGAGAAGCACACAAGCGCCTCTAGTGGCTGTCAATGAGACAGCCACTAGAGGGAATGGGGAAGGCTTAACCCATTGATAAACATAGCAGTTTCTCTGAAACTGCTATGTTTATGAAAAAATGGGTTAACCCTAGAAGGACCTGGCACCCAGACCACTTCATTAAGCTGAAGTGGTCTGAGTGCCTAGAGTGGTCCTTTAAGTGACGATATATACAAGAAAGTGGTGTACATTTAGCCAAAATGATCAGTGGTTACTTGTGACTTTATATGTACTGCAAACCCCAATAAACACACACATTAACTTCGGCACATAAATTGCTTAGGTGATGTAACATTTATGCTAATTTTTTGTTTTTATTTTAGGGTGCCTTTGGAGCCCTTCAGAAAATATGTGAAGATTCTGCTGAGATTTTAGACAGCGATGTTTTGGAAAGACCTCTTAATATCATGATCCCAAAGTTTCTGCAGTTTTTTAAGCATAGTAGTCCTAAAATAAGGTATATTCTATGACACTTTAACTGTCAGGGCAGTACAGAAATTTGTAAGTTAGAAAAAAAACAAATTTCAGAAACGCCTGTTTAAATGAAGGCTAGCTTAAAGCGGCCCAGTTATATTCTGGGAGCATCCATTTTGTTCTCATCTGACCATGCCTGCAGTTTGCCCTTCTGTGGGATTAATTTATATTTATTTTTTGGGATTGTAGGTAAATTTGGCAACTGAAACAGAACCTTGCTTCAAGCTCTGTCCATTGCCAAGTATTATCAACAGAACTGCTCAACGTAAGGAAAAGTAATCTCTATTTTTCCTTATGTATTTCATGAAATTTCAAGAAGTCAGGAAAAACCTATATAGATTCAGACACGGGGATCTATAAAAAAGATCTTTATATAATGGTAAGTTCCTTAATCCTGCAAAGGTAATTATTGCAGTTTTTAATAAACTCCTGTAATTACCTTTTAAAGGTTAACTCCCCCTCTAGTGCACCATCGGCACTTCCAGGTGGTTAGGCGACTTTGTCAGCTTACTGAAGCGGGATGTCCTCAAGGTATGCATTAGGACATCTAGTGTCATGTAAAACTCTATAGGAAAGTATTATACATGCTTTCCTATGGGGGAAGTACTAATGCGAGCGTGGCCACGCGAAGACTGAAGGCCATCTCTGAGAGAGCAGTGTTGTGTGGGGGAAGAGTTAAGCAAACTACCATGTTAACACTTGTGGTGATAAGGACTCTATTTGTATTCCTTACACTATAGTGTTCCTTTTAAAAGGAATGTTTCCCTCACTTGCTAGCTATCATTTTCTTTTTGTAGTCTAGATGATTGGTAACACTAAGGGGATAATTAGTGCATCTAATCATAATTGCTGCATTCAGTGTATTGTAGAATGAGTGCCCATTCACAATGTTTGTCAGTCTTTAATATCCACATAACAGAAGTTGGAAAAGATTCTTTTCTGTCCTAGAAAAAGTATACAATTGAAATGCAGAATGCTAACCATTGCATAATTTTACTTCGGTTTGATATATTTTTCTTTCCCGCTATAGGTCACATGCTGTTGCTTGTGTCAATCAGTTCATCATTGGAAGAACACAAGCACTTATGTTGCATATAGATTCTTTTATAGAGGTATGCAGAATATTTGTACCAGTTGTGTTTTTGAGTGTATGCACTGAACACCGAATTGAACAAAGGATTGCAAAGCTTAGTCTAAAATAGCTGATTTTCAAATTCTCCCACTTTACTATTGTTACAGCTTGGCTATTTATATTTTGCAATTTAACGCAATCTGAAACAAGCTAACAAATGTCAAAGCAAGTGTTAACACACAAAGTGTCTGTCCTGTGAAAGATGCAGCAGGCTAACACCAATGGTTTATTCATTTTTATCTGACAGAATCTCTTTGCTTTGGCCACTGATGAAGAACCTGAGGTTCGCAAAAATGTTTGCCGGGCACTGGTAATGCTGCTAGAAGTTCGAATGGATCGATTGCTTCCTCACATGCACAATATTGTAGAGGTAACAATGTATTTTATGCTTAAGCCTCTAAAAACAGAATTATAATATCTTTACCTCTTTGGATATGTCAGGAAATATTATTTTTACAGTTCCACATACATTATAAGCGATAGATGTTTTAAAGTTAAAGGTGCGCTCTCAGCAAAATAACCACGATTGTGTTTCTTTCCCAGTTTAATAGTTGTTGATTTGACAAACTGGGGCTCTGTGGGAAGCTCAGTGTTGACTCCATATGTATTGGTAATGTGTAATTGACACTTCTGCATTATTATTGTACTAACCTATTGGCGATGATTGAATAAAAATGTGGATCTTAATTTTAGCACTATTACTTTTAGCTGTGCTAGATGGCAAATGTATGACAGGTATGTAATTTTCATTGGTAGTCTGCTTATGGCCTATGTTTGAGTCTCCTTACCAGAAACAAAAGAAAATTGTGTGCGTGTCTATCTATTATAGTCTGTTTAACCTCTGTTTGGTTTTCTAATATAAGGTATTTTCTTTACAATTATAGTACATGCTACTGAGGACGCAGGACCAAGATGAAAATGTTGCTTTGGAGGCGTGCGAATTTTGGTTGACACTGGCTGAGCAGCCGATCTGCAAAGATGTTCTGTGTAGACATCTTACAAAGTAATTTTATTTAGCTAGCATTTTACTTACTTTATATATACTTTTTATTTTCTCATCCTTAATCATTTTGTTATCTATATTAAAGGGACACTACGGTCACCAGAACAACTACAGCTTAATGTAGTTGTTCTGGTGACTATAACCATTGCTCTTAGGCATTTCTTTGCAAACACTGCATAGAAATGCCTCAGTGAAAAGGCAGTGTTTACATGTCCCTCTAGGGACACCTCCAAGTGGCCACTCAGATGGCCACTGGAGGTGCTTCCTGGGGCAGTGCTGCACAGTAGGCAGCACTGCCGTTCAGTCTCCACGCTTTCCACGGGGATGCTGAATTTTCCTTATAGAGATGCATTAAATCAATGCATCTCCGTGAGAAGGTGCTGACTGGCCAAAACGTGGTTTGGCCCCACCCCCATCCCACCTCCTTACTGTTTTTAGCCAGTCCAATGCTTTGCCTATGGGAAAGCATTGGATTGACTAAAAATGGACAATTCTGTTAATGTTGTGAAGGAGGTGGATTGGGGGCGGGGCCAGTGCAGATGGACCTGTGCGGCGCTGGAAATAAGGTACGTTTTGATTGCTGTGGGGGGGGGGGGGGGGGGGGGCAAGCCACATAAATGGTGGGTTTAGCACTATAGGGTCAGAAATACATGTTTGTGTTCCTGACCCTATAGTGTTCTTTTAAGGCATTTGGGACAAGCAGGTCATAACCAGCAAAGTGCCCCCAAAAATATGAATTTCTCTTTGGCACAACGATGTTTAACATGACCAATGTTTCAGTTGGTACAGTAAACTTCTCAAGATAAGCCTTACACTTAAACTGAATACATGTGGGGTTTGTTTCTGAGCTAAAACTAAAGTACTAGTGGTATCATTAACAAGTAGCACATCACTTGCCGTGACTGGACCGTACTGTAAAGGACATAGTAAGGAAATATTGTCCTTAAGAAGAGTTAAAGTGCTCTGTATTGGCAGGAAAGCCTGGAATTTGTTTTGCACAACTCAACAGCATCAAATGATGGGGGAAATCCAGGATGTTAGGATGATCCCTTTTTAAATCTGGGACTGCAGGAGGGGTGTTATGCATTCAGAATCCGATTTTGGAAATGTATGAACTCTTGGCCATTCTCTAGTGAACGGTTTTTATGTTCAATTTCAGATTGATACCGGTCTTAGTAAATGGAATGAAGTATTCCGAAATTGATATAATCTTGCTTAAGGTGAGTGACTTTTATAGTTGCATCAATTTTATGCTCTTCTGGTGTTTGCCATTCTGATAACTCTGCTTGTCCTGATCTTTTCTCCAGGGTGATGTTGAAGAGGATGAAGCTGTACCGGACAGTGAGCAGGACATTCGGCCTCGCTTCCATAGATCAAGGACAGTAGCTCAGCCTCATGAAGAAGATGGTATTGAGGAAGATGAGGATGATGATGATGATCTGGATGATGATGATACAATATCTGACTGGAATATACGTGAGTACTGAAACCCCACAGTCTGTCTTTTTGGAGTGCGCTCTCAAATATTGTGCGTCATGTTAAGATATGGAAGCCATTATCTAGATTTCACTAAATGCAATGGTTTTTACTCTTCCAGGAAAGTGTTCTGCTGCAGCTCTTGATGTGCTAGCCAATGTGTTCAGAGATGAACTTTTGCCACACATCTTGCCTCTTTTGAAAGAGTTACTTTTCCATCCAGAATGGGTCGTCAAGGAGTCTGGAATCCTGGTGCTTGGAGCAATTGCTGAAGGTTGGTTGCTTTTGAAACTACAAGTTGAAAAACACAGGCTAACTTTTTTTTGGGGGGGGGGGCATTCTTTATTTTTGGTAGTGCATAGATAGACCTACATAAATGAAGCATGCATAAAAAAACAGAAGCGTTATAAATTGATCATAAAATGTCAATTACTGCAGTTTTTGTTTTATATTGTTAAGATAGAGAAGCATGGAATGCGACTAGATAACTTCCCTGGAAGGCCCCCTCCCCTATTATTGAGACGATAAAAATACACTATTGCAATGAGGGCTAACTGTAACAAGTGAGACAATAATAAACCGAAAAGAATACACCTAAAGCGACATGGAAGTTATTAAACCCCACAGTTAGGAAAGGTGAAGTACTAGGAGCTCTTGCTAGCACTGTTCCAAAGCCAAAATCAGCATATGCCTTTCAAGGGCACAGTGCAATCATGTGCCGAGTAGATGAGCTGCAGGCCTCGGAGCCTGTATGGAGAATGGCGATTCACTGCAGATACTGCTGGTGGAATTCCCCTCTGTACCTTCAGTCTCATGAGGCCCAGCTTTGGTGCACGTTGGCACCGGTTTCCGTGCCATCTTGTATCCAGGTTAGCTGCACTTCTCCCTCCACTGCTATATTTGGGCCTGCTCTCCTGCTAGATCCATGGGCTCCTGATAAGCGATCTGGGATAAGTGGTCATAGGGGCTGTATTTCAAGATCTGTTAAGTCCGGGCACCTCCGTACCAGATCAGCCGTCTCTCTTGTTCAGCACGCACCAGGCAGCTGTCGTCACGATGGAGTACACACACTCGTGATGGGTCTCTGACCGCTGCACAACATAACCGGTGTGTCGAGGATTAAAGCTGATAAAAGATATGACCCTAATTGGGTTAAGTGAGTTTGTATATTGTGCTGAATGACAGAATAGTGGAGGAGCTCACTCCACCATGACAGCCAGGCCCCTGGCACTATAGCTTCCCTTCAAAGGTGACTTGGGTACATTAAAGGTAACTTATGGTAGTTTGAATTTTTCAGATGCTATTATACCCCAAAATGTATCGTAGACTAACCATCAATGCTCTAATTGTTTAAAATAAAAAAACTATATTAGGCAGGCTGCTAATTTTGTCCTTCACAAAAACTTGGCAAAAGTCTTATTGTAATTGGGAGATGTGTGCTTTCACTTGTCCTATAATTGCATCCCACTGATACTCCACTAAATGCTTCCAGGGGAGAGTCAGCATGATGGATGCCCAAGTATATTGTAAATTGTTCAAAAGCGGTTTAAAACTAGAAGATAAGACGGCGCCAGGGTGCTTAAGGCAACATTGCCACTTTTTTGAGATTAAGTGGATTTGATGTCTGGAATGTTCAATTAATCTGTCTGCACAATATATGCATTTAAAAGATCAAAAAAGACTATTCCTAAGTGATTATATTTGTACTTTTTTTTTTTTCTTCCCTTAAGTTAATAATCTAAAGTAATTACACGTCATATAATGTGAATTAAATTGATTTTGTTTTCCAGGTTGCATGCAGGGTATGATCCCATACCTCCCGGAGCTAATTCCCCACCTTATTCAGTGCCTGTCTGATAAAAAGGCTCTTGTGCGCTCTATCACGTGCTGGACTCTTAGCCGCTATGCACATTGGGTAGTTAGCCAACCCCCAGACAATTTTTTGAAGCCATTAATGACAGAGCTGCTAAAACGTATCTTAGATAGCAACAAGCGAGTACAAGAAGCGGCTTGCAGGTATGTAAAATCATTCATTTGTGGGTCTGTGTACATTTTTGCCTTTTTGCAATTCGGCATCTTTAAAAAAATAAAAAAAATATTCATCATGATTACCTGTTCTTCTAATGTTCCCAAAAAGCATTGACTGCTATAGGATAAGCATTATTCTTAAAGGACAAGAGCGTACACAGCATTTGTGGTGTATAGGCAGAATAATGGGGTGAAACGAAAAAGTGAAAACTGCATCTTAACTTCAATATAATAAACCAGACCACTAACTACTAATCCGTTTAAATATGTGACTAAAGCAACCTTTAATTTAGGGTAAAAATTAAAGTTGGATTAACAATAAGTTTTGACACTTCAGTACCTTCAAAGGCAGCGCTGTCTTGGTACTAAAAGCAATTAAGAAGACTGCTGGTAAACCCTGCTATTTAATTACTGCTATACTTGTTTCATATCTGTGCTGTGCTAATTCATTGTGTCCAAAGCGCCAAAGTTCCAAGCGTCTCTATTTTATTCTGAGTGTTTTTATCTGAAAAGTTGTCTGCTTCTACAGCTGCCTCCATTACAGAAGTTGAACACTAACTCATTCCCCCTCAGCCTATAAAAAAAAAATATATATATATATATATATATATATATATATATATATATATATATATGGGTGTGCCAAACATTTTCTTTATTTGTGGTATATAAGAAAGAAAAATAAGAGTGTAGATACAACTTATTATAGAATATACTTTACCTTTAATTAGAACTTCTATTTAGATTGAAAAAAAATTAAATTAGGGCAATTCTCATATGTAATAAACACATAAAATGCAATAGCACTGAATATAGAGTAGGAGTTAAATGGCTACAGTACAATGTCAGCAATTCTGTTGGTATCAAACAAGCAAGCAGCAAATAAAAATCTAATTGCTCAAATTGCCTTATTGGTGCAACTCTTAGCCAGACCCCCGATTGGAATCTAGAGGAAAGTAAAACTGCCGGCAACAGTGGAACAAAAAATGTGTACACGAGAGGGTCAAAAGTAAATGCCTGACCACAGTCGACCCAACTGTAAACTAAAGATCAACCAGCGAACAAAAGATATCCTGAAGGTTGTAATCTCCAGTGGAATGTGTGATGTACAGGTGATACTCGAAAAATTAGAATATCGCGCAAAAGTTCATTTGTTTCAGTAATGCAACGTAAAAGTGGAAACTTATATGAGATAGATGCATTACATGCACAGCAAGATAGTTCAAGCCGTGATTTGTCATATGTGCAATGATTATGGCTTTTATAGCTCATGAAAACCCCAAATCCACAATCTCCGTAAATTAGAATATTGTGAAAAGGTGCAATATTCTAGGTTCAGTGTCCCACTCTAATCAGCCAAGTAAGCCTTTAAATGGTCTCTCAATCTGGTTCAGTAGGAATCCCAATCATGGGGAAGACTGCTGACCTGACAGTTGTGCAGAAAACCATCATTGACACCATCCATAAGGAGGGAAAGCCTCAAAAGGTAATTGCGAAGGAAGTTGGATGTTCCCAAAGTGCTGTATCAAAACACATTAATAGAAAGTTATGTGGTAGAAAAAGGTGCACAAGCAGCAGGGATGACCGCAGCCTGGAGAGGATTGTCAGGAAAAGGCCATTCAAATGTTTTGACTTTCACAAGGAGTGGACTGAGGCTGGAGTCAGTGCATTAAGAGCCACCACACATAGACGGATCCTGGACATGGGCTTCAGCTGTTGTATTCCTCTTGTCAAGCCGCTCCTGAACAACAACAAATGTCAACGCCAAAGTCCTCTTTTCTGATGAGAGCAACTTTTGCATCTCATTTGGAAACAACGGACCCAGTCTGGAGGAAGAATGGAGAGGCACACACTGCAAGATGCTTGAAGTCCAGTGTGAAGTTTTCACAGTCTGTGTTGATTTGGGGAGCCATGTTATCTGCTGGTGTTGGTCCACTTGCTTCATTAAGTCCAGGGTCAACGCAGGCGTCTACCAGGAGATTTTGGAGCACTTAATGCTTCCTTTCACACACTAGCTTTATGGGGACGCTGACTTCATTTTCCAGCAGGTTCAATGCCGTGGGATTACTGTGCTTGATTGACCAGCAAACTCGCCTGACCTGAACCCCATAGAGAATCTATGGGGCATTGCCAAGAGAAAGATTAGAGACATGAGACCGAACAATGCAGAAGAGCTGAATGCCGCTATTGAAGCATCCTGGTCTTCCATAACACTTCAGCAGTGTCACAGGCTGATAGCTTCCAGGCCACGCTGCATTGAGGCAGTAATTGCTGCAAAAGGGCCTAAACCAAGTACTGAGTCCATATCCATGCTTATACTTTTCAGAGGTCTGATATTGTTCTATGTACACTCCTTGTTTTATTGATTGCATGTAACATTCTAATTTACTGAGATTGTGGATTTGGGGTTTTCATGAGCTGTAAGCCATAATCATCGCACTTATGACAAATCACGGCTTGAACTATCTTGCTTTGCATGTAATGCGTCTATCTCATATATTGTTTTCCACTTTTACGTTGCATTACTGAAATAGATTAACTTTTGGACGATATTCTAATTTTTCGAGTATATCACAAGTGTCTGCCGGAAACTTCGACTTAGGCCACCTGATAATGGGAGAAGCCCATAAAATGTGTAAGCACAGCCTGGACACACACATTCTACATGTTTTGTCTCTTCAAGAGAGTTTATGAAGACATGCAACTTGCTTACGCTTGCAACTATATTGGGGGTGGGGGGGGTTCTTCAAGATTTTATTTCTGTCCTAATAAACTCTACAAGGCAATCTAAATGTGGATGCCAATTTTAAGACCATCATTAAAAAAAATTTATAGTGCAGTGGTGTCTAGAAGAAATGAAATTGAAGGTAGATTTTTGTGTAATGTAAGAAAGCCTCGGATACTACATGGTTAATTTTTTTTATTCACTTTTACTTTTAAAGGGTTTGTTGATGATTGTTTCTCTTTTTCGTATAGTGCCTTTGCTACACTAGAAGAAGAAGCTTGTACAGAGCTTGTTCCGTACTTGGCTTACATTTTGGACACTCTGGTCTTCGCTTTTAGTAAATACCAGCATAAAAACTTGCTCATCCTTTATGATGCCATCGGGACCTTAGCGGATTCTGTAGGACACCATTTGAACAAGCCAGTGAGTAGTATGGACTTCCAACAGTTTTATGAATAATTATGTTGACTGCATTTCTGTACCATTTTAGAGAATTAATAATATTAAATTGGCTCTGTCATATGCTGGGGTCTTTGCATAATTTGCTGTGACCCCTGATGGTGACTGCTTCATGAGGTGTAGGGATAGGCGAGTTGTACTTGATTGAACCTGCCCTGTTATTTTCCTGACTATCCTCTTCAGTGCCAGGAGCTCATGTCTGTGTTCTACTCCTGCGCTTGCGTGAATAGATATAGGAATAATATAGGATTCCGTGAGACTTCAGGACAGAGCTTTCATAGACCGCATTTTCTCCTACAGTCCTTACAAGTTATGGCTTGCGTATATGACAAAACTGTAGGCGGAGCTACTTTTGTCAAGTTTTGTCAGCGTAGCAGAAATACTAATTAGTTTATCTTTTGACTGCGATGTATTTAAGTGAAATCATAACACAGGCAACGCAAGCATTTCATAAAGCAATTGTGAGCCATGTTAATATACGTTTATTGATAACGTTTACAGAATGAGCACGTGATAACATTTAGACACTTCATAGACCGCATCTAGATTTGACACTCTAAGCACCATAACTACAGCTCATTATAGTTCTGGTGCTGTGAGTCTTTGATTGCTATGTCCGGTTTATGGTCCAACTGGCTTTGGGAGATTTGACAAAATACAGTTAACCCCTTAAGGACAAAAGAAAGAGAAGACTACTGCCATAGAGATGAATGTATAAAGTTAAAAATTTACTTTTAATGATACAATTAAAATGAAATTGAAAAACAAATTAATTTGATAAAATCTCGATATGCCAAAAGGGAATATAGAGAAATACACAAGAGACAAACAAGTGGTTGTAATATCTAGATCAGGGGTAGGCAACCTTTTAGCAGCACTGTGCCGATATAGGATTGTGATGTCCCGTAGCGTGCCGGTCCTATTTTTTATTTTTTTATATTGAGGTGTGAATGCTGCCGTATTCTGCTTGTGTTTATTTATACTGTAATTGCTTTGTATCATTGTATTTGTGCGTATAAGAGCTATTATATTGTATATGTTCATGAGTAGATTGTGGTATAGTGTATGATGCATATCAATGTGGGCTGTGTATGAGGGCTGCTTGTGGAATTGCGTGTGGATGGATATGTCACATTGTGTGTTTGGTAGTGTGTGTATGTGTGGGGGCTGTTTGGGGTATAGCATGTGAGAGGCTGCATGTATGTGGATTGTACTGGGACTCCTGATAGGCCAGAGCCTGTTTGGCTCTAGCAGCCTTGAGTGCCGTGCATGGTAGGTGCCATAGGTTGCCTACCCCTGATCTAGATTGTTAAATGCACAAAAGACAAACAAGTGGTTATAATGTCTAGATTGTTACAAATTCATCGCTGATACATCAGACACTATATAAATTGTTGCAAGTTGATAGTTTCACTTTACTTATGCTACAATGCAATATATATACTATCTATAAGAGGTAGACAGGAACAGAAATATAAATTGCTTAGGAATTATATATATCCAATATCATCATCATGGAACTAAGTGAAATTAATTAGTTAAACTCCCAATATAAACCCATAAAAAGTTTCCCAAAATTCTGACTGTGCCTTCATGGGCACCTACCTCAAAAAGAAAGACTAAACTAGCTAGCTATCCAAAGCCCTGTGAAGAGGGAAAGAGGGTGAATAAAGAGGTGAATCTACTGAACGCCTTGATAAGCGTATAACTGTGCACAATTACTTAATGTTCTAATCAAAGATCACTTTTTGTTAATTGATTGCTAAAAGTAGAACGAACAAAAGCAGATTCTTATATATAAATCATTATGATTAATGTCTATATAAGCAAAAGAATCTAACTGTGCATTCATGGGCACCTGCCACTGCTGAAAAGGCTAAGCTAGCTATTTTTCGAAAGATAAGCCCTGATAAGCGTACCCAAGCCCCGAAAGACTATAGTCAGAAAAATACTGAGCAGTACCGATTAGACCCCACCGAGAATATATAATAATTGTTAGTTAAAGGACCACTATAGTGCCAGGAAAACATACTCATTTTCCTGGCACTATAGTGCCCTGAGGGTGCCCCCACCCTCAGGGACCCCCTCCCGCCCGGCTCTGGAAGGGGGAAAGGGTTAAAAACGTACCTTTTTCCAGCGCTGGGCGGAGAGCTCTCCTCCTCCGTTCCTCCTCCTGGGCTGAATGCGCACGCGCGGCAAGAGCTGCGCGCGCATTCAGCCCGTCGCATAGGAAAGCATTTCAATGCTTTCCTATGGACGCTTGCGTGCTCTCACTGTGAAAGTCACAGTGAGAAGCACGCAAGCGCCTCTAGTGGCTGTCAATGAGACAGCCACTAGAGGATTATGTGGAAGGCTTAACCCATTCATAAACATAGCAGTTTCTCTGAAACTTCTATGTTTATGAAAAAATGGGTTAACCCTAGCTGGACCTGGCACCCAGACCACTTCATTAAGCTGAAGTGGTCTGGGTGCCTAGAGTGGTCCTTTAAATACAGGCTAAGGTAGTTCGAAAAGGGGAGCTGTATCAAGCGATGAATTTGTAACAATCTAGACATTATAACCACTTGTTTATCTTTTGTGCATTTAACAATCTAGATATTACAACCACTTGTTTGTCTCTTGTGTATTTCTCTATATTCCCTTTTGGCATATCGAGATTTTATGAAATTTATTATTTTTTCATTTTAATTGTATCATTAAAAGTAAATTTTTAACTTTATACATTCATCTCTATGGCAGTAGTCTTCTCTTTCTTTTTTTGAATTACTTCAATTAGGGTTAACCCCTTCACTGCCTAGGTTGAACTACCATTAAGCTTCCACCTTTTCCTCTGTTTTCCTTAAGGACAAAACTTCTGGAATAAAAGGGAATCATGACATGTCACACATGTCATGTGTCCTTACGGGGTTAAAGGAACAGCGCACATACAAAAACAAATGGTTTTAAATTTTACAAGGCTACTTAAAATCTCCCCAACTTGGCATTCAAATATGGGGATTCAGTTCCACCATATGGCCATATTGTTTTAAGCCCACCACTGCGTCATAGTACTCCAATGCCTGTGGGTTCTACACTAAATTTAAGGTAAATTTACATGCTACCCTACAATACTTACAGTTTCAACTGCCTTCAGAGACTCCAAAACTTATGCTTTCCATTGGTCACTTCCAAAGGGTGAGGTGGTCAGCCCAATAAGAATCTGGAGATTTGACAAACACTGGTGTTTTCCCCAATAAATGACTCCAAAATAGCTTCACCTTAAAATTAGAGCACAGGACATAGAGCATTTTAGCTTTCTATAGAATTCCTGGGTGTGACGCTGTCTGACTGAACATATTTTCCAATCTGTTCTACGCATAAAGCCATGGTCTGAGACAGTAATGGTTGGTTGTAAGAAATCTTAAAGGGACTCTCCAGTGTAAGCAAACCCTCTCCCTCCCACCCCCATCCCATGTTAAAACCCCTTCAGTGACTTACCTGAATCCAGCGCCGATGTCCCTCGGCGCTGGGTCAGGCTCTGCCCACGCTCCTTCCCTGCAAACGTCAGCCGGCGGGGGAGATCTAATGTGCATTAGACCTCCCCATAGGAAAGCATTATACAATGCTTCCCTATGGGGATTCCGGTGACACTGGAGGTCCTCATGCATAGCGGTAGGACGTCCAGCTTCGTTTAAAACGCTTTTTGCGTTCTAGGAACACGGACGTCCCTCTAGTAGCTTTCTGATAGCCACTAGAGGAGGACTTAACCCTGCAAGGTAATTACTGCAATAATTACACTTGCAGGGTTAAGGGTGATGGCGATTGGAACTCTGACCACTCCAATGGGCAGAAGTGGTCTGCGTGCCTGGAGTGTCTCTTTTAAATATGCAGTTTGTAGCAATTTGGCTTGCAGACACCTTGATTTAAAAATATGAATGATACATGAAGTGATTGGGTTCCAAATATGTGTTAATTGCTTTATGATTTAATGCATGTGTTTACCTTTCGAACAGGAGTACATTCAGATGCTTATGCCTCCTCTCATTCAAAAATGGAATGTGCTAAAGGATGAGGACAAGGATCTCTTCCCTTTACTTGAGGTAGGTTCTCTGTTGGCAATTTTGTTTTAACAATATTGTATATTATGGAAATATTTCATGCATTCTTCTGTTCAGAAAGAAAGTGTTCAGACTCCATTTTAAATAATAATAATATAAAGATTGTCTTGTGTGTGTGGTGGTGTTTTTTTGTTTTGTTATTTTTCTACCAGAGCAGGCTTCTCTAGAATTTTTATTTTCCCAGTGTCACACTTGCTCTTTGAAAATTTTGTTATTGTGCAATAATTACTGGGAAACAGAATTTTGAGACCAGGAATAATATAACGACTAACAGACATGAAACACTTAACCGAGAACTAAACAATGTGACTTAGTTTTAACTTTTCTAAAGCAGTCTGTACACACTTTTTTTTTTTTTTAAGTGAATTATGCATCAAAAATGTTGCTTTCCATAAGCGGAAACTCGTTATTAATAATTTTCTAATTTTTTTTTTTTATGTATTGCGCTAAGAGTTAACGGATTAGTAACTTGTAGCCGATCTGCTTTAATTCCCAGTCTCTGTTTAATTTTTAAGTGGCAAATATCCACTGAAACCTGTCTTCGCGTTAAAGATCTGCAAGCTTATCTTTAAGTTTGAGTGATTGTAGTGCCCTAATTGTCCTTCCCATGCATACCTTTCCTCATGCCAGTTTCAGTTGTGTTTCCAAACTATCCTCAGTATGACCGGTTTAATACTGATAGGTAACTGAACATGAGAACGCTGTTTGTGCGATGCTGTAATGAACTTGACAACTACTCTGCAAATTTACTTGTCACCCAGTTACTCCGAGCCATGTCAAGTAAGAAATAGCGTTTAGCTGGGCTCAGCAGCTTGTGATTGGTTTAGCATTAAGCTGTAATCTTGTTGATGGGGAAGTACTTATAGCTTGCTACTGGTCTGATGATGTGTTCATATTAAGAAAAATAAACTGTTTTCTGTGTGGATAGGAGACTCAAACACGTACTGTTAAAATGTCTCTTGTTCAAGTTTAAAATATGTTTAGGATTTTAACATTATACCCCAAAAACAAAAGAACTTCATAACAACATGATGCATAAGTTGAGTTCACAAGGGTTGTGTAATATAGTAGATGTTCAGTTGGATTTAACCCCTTTTTAAAGATTTATTTTTTTATTTGGAGTCTGATGGTCCTGTTCTTTGACAGTGAATAATTTGTGTTTTCAGAAATGTTTGTTTATTAACCTGAGAAGTAAAAACATACCATCACAAATTACAGGGTGTATTTGTATGGAGCTGTGGTCGGCTTAATGTTTGATTTCTTGCCTTATATACAGATTGTCTTGTTGCACACAATTTAAAAAACGTTAATTTTATTATGGTCAGGTCCCCCTTTATTGTATTTGTGACTGGGCAGCAATAGCAGCCCAGTCACTTGTATTTTCTTATGACCGAGAGCTGCCACTCGACATTCACGGCACAAGTTAAGGGCAGCTGGGAGGATTTAACCGCGATATTGCTATGTGCATGCAAAAATAAAATGCTATAAACTTTGAAAGAAGTAATGGCTATAGAATATACCATATGACATTCTCCGTGGTGTCTTTCACAAATGGTATGCATTTATGCGGTGGTTTGAACTGTGAAACTGCTAGTGTCCCAAAATGTGCTAAAGGGCCTAGCAATTTCCTCAATCCAATTTCTTATTGTTAAAACTGGATAATAAAGTATCTTATGTGGCACTGTAACTTAGTGCCAAAGGGAAACATTGGGGGCATTGATTTGTTCATAAGAGTTTGCTGAGCATAATATAGATGCTCTAGAAGTTCTACATTCATAAATGGTAGGCCTGTGGGGGGTAATTTCCACAAACTGCTATGGCGTCCCAAAATGAGACAGGCCAATCAAATCCTATAAAATTTCTAACTGTAAAAACTGAAGTGGTCACATCTCTTGTATGGCACTGTAGCTTCACATGATAGTAGCAAAGGCATACCCTGGGGTATTATTGTACTCAGAAGATGTAGCTGAAAACATTATGGGGTTTTGCGCAGTAGTAGCACACACCAGGTTTACAAAATAAAAACCTTGTTAAAGGACCACTATAGGCACCCAGACCACTTCAGCTTAATGAAGTGGTCTGGGTGCCTGGTCCATCTAGGATTAACCCTTTCTGCTGTAAACATAGTTTCAGAGAAACTATGTTTACCTATGGGTTAATCCATAGGTGATTTTTCACAGTGAGAAGACGCCAGCGTCCATAGGAAAGCGCATTCAGCCGATGACTGGGAAAGGAGGCGGAGAGCCCCCACCGCTTAGGGAGCCCGGCGGTGGAGAAAAGGTAAGTGTTTAACCCGTTCCTCACCCTAGAGCCCGGAGGGAGTGGGACCCTGAGGGTGCGGGGGACCTAGAGACCCTATTGTGCCAGGAAAACAAGTATGTTTTCCTGGCGCTATAGTGGTCCTTTAAATGTGTATATGTTAAAAATCAGAAACAGACATTTTCTTACAGTATTTACCAGAGACTGGCAGTTAAATGGTGCATAATACAAATCATCAGGTAAATAGCCTGTGATGTATATTTTATATAAATATATATTTTTGCGTGGCAATTGTGTTTTCTGTGATTGCTATTAAACTTACAAAATAACCATACCAATTCTAAAATCGCTCCACATTGAAATTAAATTTTTTACTCCTTAGATTTTGTGATCTGTAAATACATTCTTATTGTGTGTGTGTGTGTGTGTGTATATGTGTGTGTATATATATATATATATATATATATATATATATATGTATATATATATATATATATATATATATATATATATATATATATATGTGTGTGTGTGTGTATTTTGTCACATTGAATTAAAGCCTTTTTTTGTATGTTAATAAACTGTAGTATTTGTTAGTGATGGAAATTACGGTTAAACACACAGAGCAAAAAATTTAAAAAATGCTTTGGTCCTTATAGTGGCTCTGTCACCTAAACCTTGCCTTACTCCTATTGTTTCCTCTTCTCTTCTTCTTTACAAAACTTTTCTGATTTTCTTCATGACTGATCTATATGTCTTTACAACACAAGACTAATGGAAGTCTTGTGAAACTTTCCTACGCTAGACAAATGTGACAAAAGGCAATACATGCCAAAGAAACATCCAACATCATTACATCAGTATACTATCGCTCACACTCCTGCTTTTCCATCCTGGTGTGGAGGAAGAAGACCTAATCACCCACTACATCTTCGATTTGTGGACAAGCATATTCTCCCAAAGTACTCTCCTTTCTGCTGGTCCTTCCTCCATTGCCTTATGAGATCTTAGTGCATCATTTCTACTGATAGTACCCTTGGGTTATTCATCCGAAAGACAATTAATGAATAGAAATTAGAACATATGAAACAAACCGAATTTTTTTTTTTATGTGCAATTCCTTTATTAGTTTTAGTTCCAAAGAGGGAGCTACTGGCTCGAGGCTACCTTCTTGTAATATTTAAAATTAGACGTGGCGTCAACTTCCTAAATGCCCACCCTTGGCCTAGAGGTTGTCAGTATGACTCCATATTGGTTAAATCCTCTCTGCCGTGCCGTGAATTGCCCGTGGTAGCTCTCTGTCATAAGAAAATACAAGTGACTGGGCTGCTATTGCTGCCCGGTCACAAATAAAATAAAGGGGGATCTGACATTAATAAAATTAACTGAAGTGAAGATAAGTTTGTGTGACAGAGCAGTTTAGCAATTTCAGCACCATATTCTATATGTATAGTAACTTTGTGTATATTTTGTATTCCAGTGCCTATCTTCTGTCGCTACTGCACTTCAGTCTGGTTTTCTACCATACTGTGAACCTGTATATCAGCGCTGTGTGAACCTGGTTCAAAAAACTCTTCAACAAGCCATGGTAAAGTCTTAATGTGACCTCTCCCAACAGCAACTAACCTCTTTTCAGTCCTCTTCCTTTATCTCTTGTGCCGTTTGTCTGTGCTTTTTTCCCTTACAGATTCCTAGGGCATAAAAACAGGGGCAGTGTAAATCCATGGATAGGAAAATGGTGGTAAAGATTTTATAGCAGCAGCCTATCATTATTCCATTATAAAACTACAGCAAGTTGATCTAAAGAGCACTGTCACTTTTGATCTTTTCCGAAAGGTGAAATCTTTAATTTAGACTATTGTGATTTAATTGACATTCAAATGCAATTAAAAGATAGAGTTGGGACTTCTTTGTCTTGTATACAAGCTGATATTTTGCAAAATACTATCTTTGAAAGGCTTTCCACCTGAGCTACCTTGCCATTTCCCATCCGCTATTGTTTGTATCAACTGATGAGAACAGGTATCATCTGTGCAGTTCACAAAATGGTTTCTCTTTGCACATCCCCAAGAATATCTTCCATAGACTTTTGTACACTAGCAAAAGTAGACCAGCGAATGTGTCGTGGCAGGCTAACTTGTTAAAATGTTAAATTGCTTTAGGAGATGTCTAAAAGGTACGCTGGACCCCTAATTCACTGTAGCTTGCTGAAATGCTTGTTTTACATGTGAATAGTGCCTGTTTTTGTGTTTTTGTTTTTTCTTCAAAAAGTGCAGATTTCAACGCAAAGTGGAACTTTTATAAATTCACCTGGTTACACAACCTTTCTCTCCCCCTCCCTCCCCCCCTCCCCCCGGCTTTCAAGCAGACAACTGTTCCTCCTACTTACTGGTTTGGTATAGCTCAGTGGAGCTAAACTCCAGAGGCAGTAATTGCCCAGAGCACCAGCCCTGCAAAGACTTCTTATTGAGCTGCATTGAGAAGTCTGATTAAACCATCACAGAAAGTCTCGGCTGGGTTAGAAGAGGACTTGCAAAGGTTTTGCAAGCTGTGTTTTTTTTTTTTTTTTAAATATACCCACACTGAAAATGTGTAATGAAATGCTTGCATTTTATTTCTCTGGGGTAAACCTACTAAAGTGATTAAAAATAAATTAATTTATTTTGTATTTGGGCAGTAGTGTCCCTTTTAATACTAATTCCTTTCTCCAGCACACCTAACACTGCTATCATGGAATGTCTGTAATACCCATGCATTGCTTCCACATATGTTCCATTCCCCTCTGACATGGTTGACCCCACTTGGAAACTTCCTCAAGCATTGCAAATAATCCATGTGAAGCAGGGAGCATTTCCCCATGGCTTTTTTTGCCAATGCATTAGCATCTGTTAATATGTTGCTACATTCCTCTAGCAAAGCATGACATACTTGCCATTTTAATCTTGGCAACTAAAACACATGTGACAGGAAGCAGCGGAACTGTTTGTCATTTGGATGAGCGAAGGGAATGCATCTGTATTTTAAGAACATTTAGAGATCTGTTAACACAATATATAGATGCATTTTAATAAAGTTTCATTAGAAAATAAGTTGGTGCTGTGGTTTTCAACCAGTGTGTCTCACAAGCACGTTGACTTCAGAGCTGTCATAGGTTGAATGCAGTTCTTTTTGAATAAGTGTCAGCAAGTCACCATTTCGGTGACCCCTTCCCCGCAAGGGTTAAGCCATTTTACTTATCTTTCTGCCCACGCCATGCTTCTCTCTTCTCGTCACACCACCTCCTTGAATGAGATAATCAATCTTGGTGATTTCAACCAATCCAATACTTTTACAATATGAAATCATTTGGGATACTAGGGCACATGCACTAGAGACCATCTTATTGAAATAGCTGAGATTGACTCTATTTCTCTGGATGCACCTCTTGTGGCTGTCAGTATGACAACCCCTAGAGACATTTAAGTCTTGCAATGTAAACAATGCCAATCCTGCAGAACGTAAATGAAAAGGCAGTGTTTTACATGAAAATGCCTGAAGGGAGCTATTATACTCACCAAAACAACTACAATAAGCTGTAGTTGTTCTGGTGACTATAGTGTCCCTTTAAACTTTTTTTTTTTTGGTGGTTTTTTGATCCATAGTCTCATCGGAACACTGTCACTATTCAACAAGGAGTTGTTTTAAAATGAGTGTCCAAGTGGCAACATTGTGTTTGAAGTAGGTTACAAATAGTAGCCCAGACATAAATCTGGTTGAAATGTTCTACTTTTGAACACCATTACCAACAAGCTCTACAAAAAGTTTGATACCCTAGTGCAGGGGTAGGCAACCTTTTAGCAGCACTGTGCCGATATAGGATTGTGATGTCCCGTAGCGTGCCGGTCCTATTTTTTTAAATTGAGGTGTGTATGCTGCCGTATTCTGCTTATTTTTACTGTAATTGCTTTGTATCGTTGTATTTGTGCGTATATGATCTATTATATTGTATATGTTCATTAGTAGTTTATGGTATCGTGTATGATACATATGAATGTGGGCTGTGTATGAGGGCTGCTTGTAGACTTGTGTGTGGATGGATTTGTCACATTGTGTATTTGGTAGTGTGTGTGTAGGGCTGTTTGGGGTATTGCATGTGAGAGGCTGCATGTGGGGTTGTGTGCATGTATGTGGATTGTTAGTGGTGTTGCGTTTGTGGGGATTGTGTGTGTGTGTGTGTGTGTGTGTGTGTGGGCTGTTCATATTATTTGTATGGGGGGTGGGGGGGTTATTCTGCAGCTCCGTGTATATCTAGCAGTGTGGGTGGGTTCCAGTGGGGACCAGGCTGGCCAGGTACAGGTCAGGGACAGAAGCTGCGATAGCTGTTGAGGGCTGCTCTACTACAATGTGGATTCCCATTCACAAGTGCTGGGAGGAAGTGATCTGAGATCACTTCCTCTATGTGCTGCAATGCATAAATTGAGGATTGTCCTTCACCACCGTGCAAAGACACCTGGCACTAGTGCCGTAGGTTGCCTACCCCTGCCCTAGTGGTTAACTTACTGCTAATGCTTGCTTGGATCTTTGCACTCACAGAAACATTTTGGAATATGCGTGTAAATATCTACTAAAATGAAAAAGTTCTCTTTATTTTCTTATCTATATTATTGACTGGCGGTTCATCATAGCCGTCAATATCTTCTACTATCTGACAAAGACAGTTCCAAGATATAGTAGTATGAATGAATGGAAGAAGTCCTTCCAATTTATTACTGTAGGCCCTGGACCATATGGATTTAAGATATTACGGTTTTGCTTTTCCTTTTTCTGAGAATTGCATTTTCTTACAGTTGCACAATGCACAGCCTGATCAATACGAATCTCCAGATAAAGATTTCATGATCGTTGCTTTGGATTTACTAAGTGGATTGGCTGAAGGGCTTGGTGGTAACATAGAACAACTGGTAGCTCGAAGCAATATCCTCACGCTAATGTACCAATGCATGCAGGTAAGTAGTACATAAAAATCCCTTTTTTATACCTGGTCAACATTGTAACTGGTCACATTTTCTCTATAACTATTAGGGGATTTTATTTTTGTTTTTCTGTTTATGCGAATTCCAATTGCTTTATTAATATATTTACATATTTCAAATGTTGACAAATGATTACCTTTAACATTTCCTCATTGCATTCTACATTTCCAAATCTATACAATAAAATATAAATATTATAGTTAAATAGTTTTTGTGCCACTACTAAGAACACAGTTACTGGTCATTGTACCTTCCTGGCACTCTAGTGTTAATAGGTCCCCCCTCCCGCCGGGCTGAAGTGGGAGGAAGGGGTTAAAATCTTACCTTTCTCCAGTGCCGGGGTCTCTTCTCCTCCTTCCGATGTCGGCTGAATGCGTATGCGCGGCAGGAGCTGTGCTCTCATTCAGTCAGTCCTTAGGAAAGCATTCTCAATGCTTTCCTATGGACGCTGGCATCTTCTCACTGTGAAAATCAGTGAGAAGTGCGGAAGTGCCTCTAGCGCCTGTCAATGAGACAGCCACTACAGGCTGGATTAACCCTAGTGTTTCTCTGAAACTGCTATGTTTACAGCAGGCAGGGTTAACCCTAGATGGACCTCGCACTCAGACTACTTCATTAAGCTGAAGTGGTCTGGGTGCCTATAGTGGTCCTTTAAGCTCATATTCTCCCTAATTCAATGTTCTGAAAAATGTCCCTTCCAGAGAGATTGCACATGTTAGTATTGGTTAAAGCAGGGGTTCCCAATTAATATTTCCTGTGGAACACATTGACCTAGTGAACCAACATCGTGCAACACCCTAACCCTGTAACACTAAACTCTCTGGCAGCAACTTGTAAAAAGCAAAACTGGGCCATTCTTCAAAAAATTTTTAAATTGCTGTAGAAATCAAGGGCATGTTGCCACCTTAATTTTACATCTCTATATAAAAAGAAAGTAACAACGTTTTGTAAAATCAGCTTCACTTTTATAGTACATGATTGCAAAAACACTCATTTCCATGTGCCATAGAAATGGAACTTGGTGGAAAGCGTGTGTTTGTATGGCATGTGCTGTATCTGGAAGTTTGGAAAAGATAGTGGTGATAATAGAATAATTTTTTTATTTTTTTTACATATGCAATTTACTAATTTTCCTTTTTTATTCCTAGGATAAAATGCCAGAGGTACGGCAGAGTTCATTTGCTTTGTTGGGAGATCTGACAAAGGCATGTTTTCAACATGTCAAAGTATGCATAGGTAGGTTTGACATTTTATTTTACTGCTTTCTTCGTTATTAGAATTAATTGAAAGTGTGTATTTATACTCACAAGCATTATAAGATGCCGTTTATGACATTCAGAGTATTTCTAATTTGTTTTTTTTTTGTTTTTTTTCTTTGTTTTTTTTTTCTTCGCTAGCTGACTTCATGCCCATTTTAGGAACTAATCTAAATCCTGAATTAATTTCTGTCTGCAACAATGCCACTTGGGCAATTGGTGAAATTTCCATCCAGATGGGTAAGTTTTCAAACATGCAATAGGTGAGAGGATCAGGGTGGGTTCATGTTTTTTTAATCTATGCTGGTTATGCATTTTTTTCTGATTTTTAATAAAGGCCTAAAAGAAGAAAATTAAAATGTGTGTGTAAATTTGATGCAGCACTCCTTGACTTGGCCATGTCTTCCTGTAGCAGAGGTGACTGATTTAAAAAAAAAAAAAAAAAAGCCTCCTGCCCATACCCACAACTTTGTCCTGGGTGTCAATCAATAGGAATGCCCCACCCCTGCTGTGAAATGCATAGTGATTAATATTCCTCTTGAAGTTGGAAGGCAGTAGTGGAGAGAGAAAGGGGGTAAGGGGGAATAAAAGGAAGAGGATTGAGTAAAGTTTGGTCTGTGTGTGTCAAAAGCACAAAGTATACTGCAGTGGGAGATAAAGTGAATGTGTGATCCTGTTGATTGATAGCATTTGCTTTTATTTTGACTGGGGCAATGAGTGGGTCAATATTGATTCTTGAAACAGACCTGTTTGCGCTATAAATGTACATTTTTATGCTTCCAATTCAAATGCTATGTAAAAAAAATAAACAAGCACTTCAGTATTGCCATGTAAAATGCGAAGGTTATTTTGAGCATGTTGATTTTATAAGTATTTAATGAAGAATTATATATTTTATTTTTTAGGAATTGATATGCAGCCTTATGTTCCAATGGTGTTACACCAACTTGTAGAGATCATTAACAGACCCAACACACCAAAGACTCTCTTAGAGAATACAGGTACCACTTGTCAGCTGTTTTTATTGAAAAGGCTTAGAATTATTCAGCACTTTCCTTATACTTTAGGAGCAACCTTTTTACTTCATATAGTATGCTTACACCGCTTAAAGGTTTTCAGATGTTTCTATATGGGGATAGAATAACAAAATCTCATTTTCAAAAGTTTTACTACCTGGTCAGTCAGCATTATTTTTATTTGTACTTTTTATGGTTTAGTTTGATTTCAGGTTTGTGTGGTGTTGTGGCTAAAAACTGTTAAGCAATTCAGAAATGATACAAATAATTTACATCCAAACCAATAATAAACAAATGCCCATTTACACAGCCCCCGTAGGTATAGATTTTTACCCAGCAATTGGCTGTTTGCTTAGAATACTTCAGGAATGCCTGGGAGAGCAAACACTAGGATATGTTACTGCTAGAGCACAACCTTTCCTGTTATCTCCAGTCTGGTTCCAACATGTTGAAACTTCTAGATTGAATGCATTTTAATGATATGCTTTTTTATGCTACGTATATAATTAATATATAAGAATATAAAAAAAAAATATATATATATATATATATATATATATAAACTATTATTAAAGAAAAGTAGTTTTTAGTGGTAAAATGTGTTGGTGACAGTACTGTTTTTTTTATGAATTTTTGTATATTTTGTGTTGCACTATGCCAGCAGTTCACTATCACAGCAATGCTTTCATAGGCATAATGATTCAAATTAACCTTCCAACTGAAACAGCGTGTTTGATAATTCTAGATTATATTTCTAATGAGCATTGTTGTAAGGCTTATCGTGAATTGCAGGTTCGAATTGCTGAAAGGTGTATATTTCAAATGCCTGCAGTACAAATATTGTTCCCTTTGGGAAAAATAAATGTAAAGTAGTACAAATTCACAAACTGTACCAGTAAATACTTCAATCATCTATACTTTATTAAACTCATCCCCAGGGGCTTTGTTGGTTACTACAACTGAACATAAACATTGTTTGACTTTTGGAAATAGGTGTATAATGTAAAGTATAATTATTTAAATTGTCACTTTTTGGGCAAAAAACTGCATTTGTACTTACAATTGTAAAGTTTGAAAACACACAAATTTACAGGCGCACCCATAAATTGTTATTGTATCTTTGTTTTTTCTTTGAGTAGTTTGTATAATTTTTTTTTTTCTCCTAAATGTTAAATGTGATGTACTTTTTGTCTAAAAGTTTACTGTGGGAACACTTTTATTTTTGGGGGCGCTTTAGAAAAGATGCTAAAGCCTACTCTATGTGGTTTAGCATGCTTGGGAACGGATCCGTTTTGTGCATTTTATTTCAAAATAAACCTTAAACCACAAACGCCTTAATGCTTAAATAGATCTTAAGGGGGCACTTAATGCATCCTGACCATTCATCTCAATGTAGTGGTCTGGGTGTAGTGCCTCTGTCTTTTAAAGCCTGCAATGTTTACAATGCTGCTCCTATTGCAGCATGTGGTTGATGTAGGACGGAGTATTGCTCACTTTTCAAACCCTCACATTCTTTTGCACATGGAAATATACATTTTTGATGTTGAAAAATTGGGATAAGTACAAATAAGGCAGATGTAATGTCATGGAGCCAGACGGTTGTGCATTTAGGGGGGCTTACTGCTCATACCTAGTAATCACTGTGCTGCACCAATTAGCATCTCCTCATCGAGATACACTATATCACGGCATCTCTATGGCAAACTTTTAGCATCTTAATGCAGGGCGTGTGGGTGCCATTCATCAGTCACTCTAAGTGCTCTTAGGGACAAATGTAAACATTGACCTTTCACAGAAAAGTAGGGATTTAAATTTGTCAGACTGCAGAGGCCGTGTCACTACACCAAAACCACTACACTTAAGGAGCACTCCACTGCCCAAATAAAAATATACATAACACCATTTACTAGATATACCTGCAATGAAAACATGCATTTAATTATGCTTGTTTTCATTGGGGTTATATCTAAAGACCGTTTGCAAAACCTGCAGATCTCTTGTCTGAAGCCTTTGCAAACCCCCTCCATTTCTAACGCTGTCCAGACATCCTGTGGCTGTCCAATCACAGACTTCCCAGTGCAGCGCAATGAGAAGTATTTGCAAAGCAATTGCTATCTCTTTAGTTTTACTGAGCTAAACAGACCAGTAAGTAACATGATCTGTTGTGTGCTTGAAAGCCGTGAGGGTATAATCAGGTTAGAAAAGTGTTCATTGCTATTGATACCTGCATTTTTTTGTAAAATGAGAAAAAGAGCTCACGCTCTTCACACACAATTTATTTTGGAAAGCTAGAGTGCTTTAGAGATTTGGTGTGTCCCTTCAAGCTGTAATGGTTCTAGTGCTTAGTGTCCCTTTAATGCATAGCAGTCAGCCATGGACAGCTGATTTCACTCTATTGATCAAATAAAAGCAGAGGGACCGAGGAAGATAGCCATCTGTGGATGGACAATGGTTCATTTAAATACTAAATACAGATTAATGAACAGCACACACAAAAATGCAGTTTTAAATTTTACAAGGCTACATAAAATCACCTATCTTGGCAAACAAATATGAAGATTCAGTTCCACCAAATGACCATATCGTGTTAATCCCCGTATTACCGCAATATAGGTGGGTCCTACACTAATTTTAATATGTAAGATAAGCATGATAACTGCTTCTATTGACTCTACTCAAATATATGCTTTCATGTGGTCACCTCCAAAGGGACACCTATTATGGAGTGGGGTGCTCAGCCAAAAAGGATTCTGGTCTGAATTTCATAACATACTAGTCAGCTTTTTATGCTGAAAAGCGATTAAATCATAAGTACTTACTAAAGGGACCTGTAGTCCTAATACCTTCACTTTTGCCTGGCAGCATGGACTATAGTATCCAGGATCATGTATACACCAAACAAAGCTAATCTACACTCTTTCCAAAGCTCCCAATGGTCTTTTAAATAAGCGCTCTTTAGTAATACTTTGTCCATGATGTGTAAACTCCTCTATCACACTCACGGCCAAACCTCATACGTGACTAGACTTGTGCACAAATCCCTTTTAGCTATGCTTAACAAATCAAATCCTACTCAATCTATCAATGAGAAAATTGATTCATTTATCCATAGATTGACAGGCATTTGATTTCTGCACAAGTTTACTGTTCATTTACATTGGCAGATGAAGATACACTTTGTGGCTTTACAGTGGTACTAAAACAAATTTAGGTGCAATTTTTTTAATGTAGTGGGAGAAATACAGAAATGGTGTCAAATCTGTGTCCTGTCTATGCTCATTGTGTGTATACATGACGTTTTTGGCACATTGCAAAAACAGTAATTCAGAACCACTGTGTATAAATTGTATGCATCGTTACCCTTTATCAAGAGGTTAGGTGTATAACAGGTCAAATAAAATGCATTGTAAGATCTATCCATATTGACTTGAATCGGTTTCTTAACTTTAACAGTCCATTCATTCTACTGTCCCACATTGAACTTTTAAACTTAAAGAGCATCATTTGCTTAATTGCATGTTTTCATCAGATCACAAGTGCCTGTTTAATGAGAATGTTGCATAGTTTGTGTCTCCTGAACATAGGTTTTCTTTTTTTCTGCTTTTGTACAAATCTGCTGGGTTTTAGTATGTGTTGTTTGCTGAAAGAAGTTTTTTTAAACTCTTCTTCCCATCTTTTCTTTCCCGTAACCTCTTATCCTTCCTATTTCTTAAATCTGAAATTTTAAACCTTCAGTTGTTAATGAGAGAACATGACTAAAACATTAATAATGAACTTTCTATAATTCTGCCTTTGTGTTTAAATGGCAAATTTAAATTTTAGTAAGGAGTCAACCTATTTTTAACCATTTATTTAATATAGATTGAGATAAATCTCAAGAAAACATACACCGCTTCACCCTGCTTTAATATAATTGTTGAATATTTGCACATTTTTTAATTATTTATTTTTAAATGAGGAATATAGTGTTTTCCTGTCAAATGCATTTTGTGGAGCATTGGATGTGTTCAGCATTGTCAGGCTGGTGCATGGTAACACCAAACATAAAGTTTTAAAGGCTTGAAAATGGAAGGTCTTGGGGAAGCGCTTGTAGTGGCATGTTCTCAGCCAATGTTAACATTTTTGTACTAAGATTATCAGTTCACCAAGCAGTTGTATGAATGCAATAAAGTCTGAATAGTTGACTGGAATTGCGCTTCTTCTATCCAGTGCAGTTTGGTTGTGCACATGGCTTTATATTGCAAAAATGGTGATGGGAGTCGCACTCAATCCCAGCAGCCACCCGTTGCTTCGGAGTAGGACCAGCAATCCCACAACAACAAAGCGGCACAAGAAATTCTCCAGACACTCAAGGTGTTAAAGCCGCAGGCAGTTTTAATAGAACAAAAGGATCAGCAACGTTTCGACCTGCTAAGAAGTCTCTATCGAGCTTGACATGTTGTTGCTCCTTTTGTTCTATTACAAGTGCCTGCGGCTTTAACACCTTGGTTGCCTGGCTTTAGACTGACAAGTCACTGGGTTATTTACTGATGTGAGAATGGAAAGCCAAATGTAGCTGAGCTGGTAATATTAAAGATGTTTTCATCTTCAGCTATTTTGGCCTTGGGTTTGAAATTAACTTTAAATTCCTGACAATTCTCACTTTTGTTCAAGAAACGCTATAGCGTTAGGAATGCAAACATGTAATTCTAACACTGTAGTGTCCTTGCCTCCATCCCCCCTTTAACCTGTAATCAAAAAATTGTTTGCTTTCCTTTTCCAGCATCCACTCCTCTGTTTGCACCATCGTCCTTGATGATGAATCAGTACAGTACTTCTCATAAATGAGCTTTGGGAATGAGATGCACGTCAGTCCAATCAAACGTTTCTTGTAGTAAAGCATTGAATAAAATGTTTTTTACAATGCTTTTGTTGTTGACAGTGTAACTCGTTTGATGCAGTGTAAACGCCTCTAGGGACTGGCAGCAAGATGGCCACTAGAAGTATGCTTAACCCTTTAAACAAGATATTGCATCTATTAAAAGCCAATGTTGTAAATCGAAGGGCTAAAACTAAAGGGTCAACGCACCCAGACCACTCCATTGAGGCAAAGTGGTCTGGGTTCCTATAGTGGTCCTTTAATAACACTTTATTTAGTGACCCACTCTTCAGCACCATATGAAAGGGGATTGTCACTTACCAGGATTTTTTATATTCCTCATTCTTATATTTATCATATATGTATTTGTGATGGGCTCTGTCCTTTGCATTTCACAGTTAGCATTGAGAAAACTCAGAAAACTGGAGAAACAAAACAATGTATCAATTTCTCCTCTTTATTTGCAATATTGTCCCTAGCCTGATCTGAACCCTATTGTGGTGTAATTTGCTTAATCTTGAACATACATTTAAAAGAGAATTGAGAATCTCATGAATAAAAAGGTTAACACTAATTTACATGTGATTTTCAATGTTTTATTCATTGTTGTAAATTTCAGAAATTGGTTTCCGTATAAGTGTTAAAACTAGTCTGTTGAACGCACATACTGATCCGGTGGCATTTTAGTGCTTACGTTGGTAGTGATGAATGCCTTATTGGTTCATGCTTCCTTGTCTACGTAAAATGCTCATGCCATAGAATAGCAGACTGATGCACAGTGATTTAATAATTCAAAGCCATACTGAGTATTGCAAGCCTTGTTTTCAAAGCAACTATTTAAATGTATTTATTACAATGTTCACTTAAATGCCATATATTCTATACAAATACCTTGTTGAAGCAATTCTCCATTACAACACTGCCTGTTCTGTTAGAGACACATTTGTGTAAACATTGGCATTATGTGGTTGTTTCTAATTGCTTTTGTTCAGTTTTCCAGGTGCAAATGTGTTTAAAATAACTACCACATAGTACAAAATGTATTTATGGTTAAGACTTGGTTAGCAGGTTAGTCTAAACTATGCCATAATAGTTGAGATTCTGTATTTTCAAGCACTTTTCAATCAAGAAACAGAATACATTATAATCGGAACTAGTTTGGTACAATGCAGTGTTGTTCAATCAAAACATTTTACATACTAAAGTAATTGGATGGTCTCATTCCAATTTTTTAGTTATATGTTGAATGTCAATTAGCCACAAGTAAGTTGATTGTGACAATTTGTTGCACAGCTTCTGAGTAGGTTACTGCTTAAGCTTAAAGGGGCACTATAGTCACCATAACAACTGTAGCTTAATGAATCCGTTTTTGTGTATAGAGCATGCCTCTTAGGTTTCACTGCTCGATTCACCGCCATTTAGGTGTTCAATCTCTTTTGTTTTTGTTTATGCAGCTCTAGCCACACCTCCCCTGGTTGTGACTCACACAGCCTGGATGAAAACAAAATGGTTTCATTTTCAATCAGGTATAACTTACTTTAAAAGTTTCTATCTCCTGCTCTATAAATTGAACTGTAATTACATACAGGAGGCTCCTGCAGGGTCTAGCAAGCAATTAAAAGAGCAAGAGATAAGAAATTCATAATTAAACATACTTTACAATAAAGTAAGTGTAAACATTAGCTGACTCTTTACAGGACGTGTTTAGGAAGGCTGTGTAAGTGACATGCAGGGAGGTGTGACTAGCGCTGTGTAAACAAAGTGATCTAACTCCTAAATGGCAGAGAATTGAGCAATGAGACTGCAGGGACATGATCTATACACCAAAAATGCTTCATTAAAGGACCACTCTAGGCACCCAGACCACTTCAGCTTAATGAAGTGGTCTGGGTGCCAGGTCCAGCTAGGATTAATCCATTCTTTTTAAAACAGGATTAAACATTCTTTTATAAACATAGCAGTTTCAGAGAAACTGCTATGTTTATCAATGGGTTAAGCCTTCCCCCAAAGCCTCTAGTGGCTGTCTCATTTAGAGGCGCTTGCGTGCTTCTCACTGTGAAAATCACAGTGAGAGCACGCAAGCGTCCATAGGAAAGCATTGATAATGCTTTCCTATGCGACCGGCTGAATGCGTGCGCAGCCAGCCGCATGGGAGGAGAAGAGGAGGATCGGAGGAGGAGAGCTCCCCGCCCAACGCTGGAAAAAGGTATGTTTATACCCCTTTCCCCCTTCCAGAGCCGGGTGGGAGGGGGCCCCTGAGGGTGGGGGCACCCTCAGGGCACTATAGTGCCAGGAAAACGAGTATGTTTTCCTGGCACTATAGTGGTCCTTTAAGCTGAATTTGTTTTGGTGACTATAGTGTCCCTTTAATGTTTTTAAGCAGTTTTTATATAGATTTCTTGTTGCATGGTTTCCCAGGCTTTTAATATTTGGTTGGCTCATAAGTGTCTGGCTCCATCAACGTCAAAGCGATATTCAGCACTTTAATTCTGTGCATGTATCGCAGAATTGCTTAGTGGTGTACTTTAAAGAAACAGGCAAAAACTATATATAAAAAATAAAGACAATCTATATTTTGCTAGTTTTATCTAAATACTGTAAAATAAAAAAAAATCACTGCGACCTAAAACATTTCAGCCTCTTTTATTGTTACATTGTAATTGAAATCATAGCATTCCCCGGATTAATAATAATAAAAAAATTAAATCTAACAATGGTAAATATAAAATTTCCATTCTGTTTCTTAGAAGAACGATCACATCCAGTGACACAAATAAGGAAATACATGGGTCATGAATGATCATTATTTTAAAAAAGTAATTTAATCTATACATTGTACTAGTTAAAATTCTTGCAATGGTGCAGGGAAATGGTTTGTTTGAAACGTGTTTTTCAGACTTAATATACAAACTAGGGCATTTCAGACTTTGCCATAATCATTTGTGGATAAGATATCGATCCATAAAGTGCAAAGTACTGTTATGTCTACATAATAAACTTACATTAATGTGCATTGAGTCTCAGCTTTAGCTGATATTTTTGGCATTTGCCTTTTGTAATATAAAAGTATCATAAAACAATCCCTAATAAAGAGGCATGCCGTAAATGGAATAGTCACTATAGGAACAACTTGTGAGTCAGCAAATAATCGTTTTGTGGGGAATTGTATTTTTAATCAAATACATGTTACATGTAGTGCAGTTCAACACGGCTTGATATAATTATCAATGTGATTCTTTTATTTATTTATATATATATAATTTTATATTAATGGAAAAATAAATCTCTGACCAACTTAGAAACAGTTTTAGATGTTCTCTCATTCTCTTTTCCTTCCTTCCTTTCCCTCCATTACACTACCACCCCTCCTACCCCCACTCCCTTCCTTTCTTGAGAGTTATGCCATTTGTCACTACCCTTTGCCAAGGGAGTGGTCATAAACAACACTAGTAAAATCTTATGTTTATTATCATACACAGATTCTGTTTTCTGTTTCTGAGTTATTTGTTGTTTTTTTTCTTTATTTTTTCTCCTCCCCCCTCATTTGCTCATGTCTTGGTTGGCGTTTGGTGGTGTATAACCGTGATTGCGTTGCCTTAGCAATAACAATTGGTCGTCTTGGTTACGTTTGTCCTCAAGAGGTGGCCCCCATGCTACAGCAGTTTATAAGACCCTGGTGTGTATTATTCAATCTTTTTTTAATTCATTTTTTTCGTCACGCTTTCTTTCTCTTCACATTTTACAATTATTTTTATTCATATTATTTTTTTTTACTTCAGTTATAATCCTGAGTCATTGTCAACCATGTGACTAATCTTGTCCTATCGGTTTTTGTCAGTTTTTACAGTAGCATTGTCATGTACATTTTATGGTAGTTTTTCTGTTCTGGCTAACTAATTGCTGCATGGGATAAGATTGTCACATGCTTGCCGCGTTAAAAGCTTGTCTATAAAGCAGCATCATTGTCAGTGTTTACCAAACATCTGTCTAGTGATGCATGCACATACTGTTTACCTCACAGGTCAATGTAATATGTCAGAAAGCATAATGATTACATTGGCTGCAGTATTCTGTATACAACATTTTTGCTCTCAGCCAATTCCATGTTTAATATTGTGAAAGTCAATACATTTTGCAAGGTTGTAAGTAATTAATGCATTACAGTACTGAATTGAACAGTCTGTCTTATGTCCAATGGCTACAATATATATGTTCTTAGACGCTTTGCAGTATTTGAATTCCACTTTAGTTTTAACTTGTGCAAAGCATGCACAAAGAAAAATGTTGGAAAATATGATATTTCACTGTAATTTAAAGCAATTTGTATCATGGTTCCTTATTGAAAAATGTAAAGCCAAAACAGAATAACGTACTTGTATAATGAGTTACATTTGCAATTTCAATAGGTGCACCTCATTGCGCAACATTCGAGACAATGAGGAAAAGGACTCTGCATTCCGTGGAATTTGTACTATGATCAGTGTTAACCCTGGTGGAGTAGTTCAGGTAAGAAGGATTTACCAATACCATTTAAACAGCAGCAAAAGATGAGGAATTATTGTGTAGGCTGCACCTGTAACTTAGGGAAAACTTAGGAAAGCTGTGTCATGATGGTTTGCAGGGGCTTCATTCTCTTGCTGTCGCATACTGCTTAATAGTTTATGATCAATACAAGGAATGCAAGATGGGGGGTTAAGACCTTAAATTCAGGTTTTATGGCAAATCCAATCTTTAAAAATGTTCTAAGATGGTCCAATTGCTTGACAAAAAAATGTCGTGTTCAAAGTGTCTGCTACAATTGTCACGCATTTGCAGTTCTGCTTCCCTCTCCTCTCGTGCCATCAAGGAGGCATGATCCTCCAGATTTGGTTAAATTCAATTTACACACTTCAAATTTCCCCATAGGGGTCTGCTGTTACATGACAGAGTTTTACTCTACTGCAGCAGAAAGTGCTTCCAGTGGCGGGCTTTATGACAGCCACTGGAGGTGTGTATAACCCTCAAATTTATACATCGGTTTTGGGGGGGGGGCAAGGGAAGATATTGCAAATATTCACCACATTTGTTAACATGCATTAGCACAGAAACACCACTAACTTACAAATTCTATTCTACTTTGAGTAATACAAAATACTAATTGGAACTTCTGATTTGAACCACTCCCTGCACAATCTAATTATAACTTTAATACTGCGTAATGAAAACTGTGAATTGAACGGTAACCTCAAGCTTAAAAAATACCAAATATGTTCACAAATTGTGCCATAGTTGAATAAATGTAGAGGTATAGAGTAGTGTCGGTTACCAAGCAAAAGCACCTGCTGTTAAAGGATTGCTTGTTTAAAAAATAATGTATTCCTATTACACTCTATTGACCCTCTGTTTTTAATTAAATAGCAGTGTGTTAAGATTAGAATCTGGTTTTAGGAGACATGGCACTTGCGTTTACATCGCCTGTACAAACTGCTGTTGGCTCACTGACTTCTCTACAAACAATCCAATGTACAACAGATATATTTAAACCAAGCCGATAAATTCAGAGTACAAGCTGAATGAAAAAGTGCATTTATTTACTCTCCAGTTCATCTTGCTTTTTCAAAATTTACCAAATCCTTTTTCATTTTCAGGATTTTATATTTTTCTGTGATGCTGTTGCATCATGGGTTAATCCAAAAGAAGATCTTCGAGACATGTTCTGTAAGGTAATGCAAATTTGTATAATATGATGGGAGTTTGATTGAGTGATACTTTACCACTTTGACACTGTATTAAATATCTCAAAACAGGTTTGGGGCTGGGGGGTTGGGTTGCGTTTATTTTTTAAGCTAGTCTGGAAATTCATGATACCATTGTAGTTTGATGTAAAATGTGTTGCTTACCTTCCTGCAAATCAGTTGGACCACTTTCTACCATTTAGTTAAACATGAAGATTTACAGATTAACTGTGGTAAAGTCACGGCCAGTCTTCACACACCATACATTTATAAATCACATTTCCCATGGCACATGCCAGTAAAGAACTAAAGCAAGGGTAGGCAACCTAAGGCACTCGAGGTGCCTTTGCACGGCACTCGAGGCTGCTAGAGCCAAACAGGCTCTGGTCTATCAGGAGTCCAAGTAAAACTTCAGATATCTGCTAATACGAAGAGGTGGTGAAGGACAATCCTCAATTTATGCATTGCAGCACGTAGAGGAAGTGATCTCAGAGCACTTCATTCCAGCACTTGTGAATAGGAATCCACACAGTAGTAGAGCAGCTCGCAGTTGTTGTTGCAGCTCCGGTCCTTGACCTGTACCTGGCCAACATGGTCCCCACTGGAACCCAGGGAAGCCACCCACACTGCTAGACATACACAGAAATGCAGAAAGACCCTCCCCTCATACAAATAATACGGACAGCCCACACACAAACATACACACAATCCGCACAAACTTACACACAATCCGCACAAACATACACACAATCCGCACAAACATACACACAATCCGCACAAACATACACACAATCCGCACAAACATACACACAATCCGCACAAACGCAACACCACTAACAATCCACATACATGCACACAACCCCACATGCAGCCTCTCACATGCAATACCCGAACAGCCCCCACACATACACACACTACTAAACACACAATGTGACATATCCATCCACACACACAATTCCACAAGCTGCCCCCATACACAGCCCACATTCATATGTATCATACACGATACCACAAACTACTCATGAACATATACAATATAATAGCTTATATACGCACAAATACAACGATACAAAGCAATTACAGTATAAATAACACAAGCAGAATACGGCAGCATACACACCTCAATTTAAAAAAAAAAAAATATATATATATATATATATATATTGGACCGTCACGCTACGGGACATCACAATCCTACATCGGCACAGTGCTGCTAAAAGGTTGCCTACCCCTGAACTAGAGGATCATTTGACTTTCTATATTATTTATATTTACAACAGCCATCACTACAGTAGAGAATATTGTTCTTGGTTTGCTTTTAATCTCATTCCTGTATTGTGCAGCAAGTCTCCAAGTTCAGGAATGTATTAATATTTTTTATTTATTTATATATTTTTTAGAAAGATGTGACATTGCTGTATAAAACCATAACATTAGAATTAGTTATAATGGTAGCACTGTTTTACATAAAATGTGAGCGTGATGCATTTATAACCTGCAATTGCACAAGAGTATGGAGACAAGCAAATGTCTGGAATGGACCTGGCATTGCAGGAACACTTTATTTTATAGAAATTGAAAGGAGCCTTGCAAGCCCAACATGATTACATTTTGAATTTGCCCCTATAGATTCTTCACGGATTTAAAAATCAAGTAGGGGATGAAAACTGGAGGCGTTTCTCAGACCAGTTTCCTCTTCCCTTGAAAGAACGTCTTGCAGCTTACTACGGAGTTTAACCTAGTTGCTATCTAGCTGCAGTCTCATCATTAGGGGTAAGTTATAAAACATTGAATTCTGTTTCAAGATAACTTTACTCAAAATTCAAATTTATAATTTTTTGCTAAAGTGTGAATTTGATGGAATTCTTCTGCTGTTGAATGACTGGGCAGCCATAGTGATAGCCACAGCCAAATAGTGAAATCTGAGGATTTTGAAACACCTTTCCAGTTAAGATGATGTGTTTTCTCTTACCAAGGAGAGAGTATTATTGTTAATATGTTGGCTGTAAACTTTTGTAAACTTTCAATATTTGAGGTGAATGGAGTCTTCCTGGGTACACCTATTAAACTTTATTTATATTGTACAGACGTTGTATAGATCTATTACTCCTAATGACTTATCGCAATAAAAATGTTTTCTAGATTTAAGCACTTGTGTTAGTTCATGCCAATCAAATGATGGTGATTAATTTAAACAGTGACTAAGAAAGGTTTTAATTGATCGTTGTTTGGAAATAGTCTCTATTGTCTGTCTGTAAAACCTTGCTAGATGTACCATGATTGTGGACTTGAAACTGTTATGTTAAATTAAAGTACACTTATCTTTTATTTTTAATCTCCTATTTTGTTTGTGAGGGATTTATTGTTCACACACAGTTTGGAATTACTGTATTTGCATATCCAGTCCTTGCTTTAATGCAGCTACTGACACCATTCTTAAAGGGAAACTATAGAGTCAGGTAAACAAAGTTGTTTTGTTTTCCTGGCACTATAGCTCCCTAAAATTGCCACCATTCCCTCTTTCCCTAAAAAGGTAGTTTTTACAATTGAAAGACTACAGGGACAGTTTAGGCACCAGAACTAGTATAGCTTAATATAGTGGTTTTGGTGTAGTGTTCCTTTAATTCATTTAAGTAAGTCTGTTCGTAGCAGTGTTGATCAGCGTAGTTATGTCGCATGTCCTGAAACTACGGAGACTGCTGAAATTGATAAAAAAAATAAAATGTATATTCAAATTAATATTCTAATTTTTTAGTGTTCAAAGTGTACAGCTGTAAGGTGAAGGCGTGACACACATAACATCTTTTTATTTATTTTATTTTTTTAGGTCCTTCAGTCTGGGAGACAGCGGGGGAGCCTCTGCACCCAGGGAAAATGCTACCCTAATACAGGGGGGAAGGGCAAACCAGTAGGAAACCGTACAATCCCAAAGCCTACTGGGAGGGGCGGGAGGGAGGTGTTGCCGTCACTGTATTAAGTCGATGTTGGGAAACGTTTAAATGTCTGGAGCCTTGGTGGGTGGAAATATGTCTCCTTTACGATTCTGCACTGGATGTGAAGAAGCAAACAAAGAATATAATCTCCAAACAGCACATTCTGGTATATGGGGAATTGTATCAAAATGAGAACCTTATAACGGGACTCTAGTGGGTTAAGTAAGGAAAAATAATTTTTTGCACACGTTAAAGAAAATCTTATGGGGATTATAGCAGTAAAAGGCATTTATTTTAAAGCAAAAGGGTTGCCTAAATGTGTCTCACTCTAATTGGGAGTTATTGGTGTTTGCATGTTAATGAAGACATACACAAATGAAGTCAATGCAGAGTTTAAAAAAAAAAAAAAGTGCAGCTTGCTATGCGTATTACAAGCAGGTACTTACAGTCTACAGCTCAGATGCCTGTCTGGTGAATAAAGATCTACTGCATAACGTGACGCCCACCAGAATGCCAAATTTAGTGTTTTTGTTTTTTGTTTTTATTTATTTATTTTTGTTGACGGGAAGGAACACAAGGAAAGAATAAATCCTTAGTTTTTAGTTTACAATAACTCATTAATACAGTAATTATTTTTTTTATAAGTCCTCTGTAATTAGCGATACATTAAAGTCTCTGGCATTTTTGATACCTTCAGTGCTTGGATACCATAGCATTGCCATGCAATGTTGATTTGGTTTCTCCTGAAGCTTGAAGGGATTTGCAGTCCAAGGTTGTCACAGTGATAATAAAACCTAATTTAGAGGGTGGGTAGCTTGCTTGCATCACGTGGTAAGATAGGCAAACATTGACCTGTATGAGACTCCCCCTCCACCCCCCTCTTTTTTTTTTTTTTTCCTCATGTTGCAGTTTACCAATTCAATGTAGCCTTGCATTTGAGATGTTTTTAAGTTTCTTAGAATTGTATTTTTAAGAAACTCTCTAGCTATACAGTGCTTCAAACTACAGTTAAAACGTAACCCTTTTCCTTTTGCCAGAAGTGGAGGGCTTGCTGAGCCCTTGGCAAACAATTCTGGCTGCTAAACAGGTTAGGTAAAGTATCTCTAGCTTCTGTTAAGAAGAAAACAAAAAAATCTAATCAATTATTGTATTGTAACATAATGTGGAAAGCTTATCTACCTATACAAACCCCTTTGCCTCTGTGCTGTCAGTGTGATGTGCTTTCTGCATGGTTAAATACTAGTGATTTTATGATAACTCAGAATTACAAGGCATAAGAACAATTTAAAAGAATGCATAAATAAATGTTGGCGCAAATTGGAAATGGTAAAGGTTGGAGGTAACTAAGAAGTTGCAATCTAGTTGTAGAACTGCAACTCCCTTGGTGTCAAAGGCTGGCAAAGCATCATGGGAGTTGTAGTTCTTAAACTACTGATTGGTAAACTCTGATAGTAATTAAGGTAATTATTATAATTCAGTGTTTATTTCCACTTCAACATAGTACATTCATTTTTTTTTTTTTTTTTTTTGTTTTCCCCTTCAAAGCATGATCATTAAACCAATAAGTTGACAGATGTGTCGCAGGGTATATGCACTGTATTGGCGCATGTTGGTGGCCCTTTGTACCCTGAATACACATTGGGGTTAATGTTTAAAAGCTATAGAATGATTGCATTTTTTTTTTCTTTTAATTTATTTTCAATTTTGTTTTTCAACCCCCTCCCCCAACCGTTTTTTTTTTTTTTTCTATTTCATTTGTTCAGCTATTTCTGTTGCTTTCTCCACCTGTAATCCTGTGAATAAACCCTTGTTAATTTAACCTTTTACTTTTCTTTCCATGTGTATTTTCTTATGTACTGTGAATGTGAAACTTTAACTGCTGGCACATTAAATAATGTGTCCTCATAAAAGTGCAAGTCTTTATTAATTCATATAGCCTCAAAGGTATCCCATGATGATAAAGAAACCAAACCTCTGCAGGTCAGAGCACCAACCCCCGCTTTAAGTTTCATTAAGCGGAGTTTAAATGTGTTAATAGAAAAAAAGCCATACCATTTTATTTTTAATATATATATATATAATTTTTTTTCTGTATTAGTGCTTTCAGAGTCAAACATTTGTAATCAATTTTGTAAAATAAAAGTTGCCCAATTTGCATGGTTTTATTCCTCTTTTGAAATGAGCAAGAGCCATTGCACTTTATACTGAATTATGACATGAAAAATGCTCCATTCAGATACTGGGTAACTAGATGACTTTAGTATGAATGTCTTTACAGAGAAGTTGAATTGTGATCCTTTTTATATTTCTAAATTTACCTGTACATCATCCTCACCAATTACAAGTTGGATGATTAAATAGTTGCCAATTTTAAGCAGAATATGTGAAGAAACATTTGAGGCTGCAGAAATGTTGTACAGGAGTAAAATGATAATGAACAGTGACAATAAAGTTTGAAAATTGTATAGATGGTTGCAACCCAGTCCTCTAGGCACACCAATGATATATATTTTGGTAGTTTCCAATTCTTTCCTGTGGAAATACAGGCAAATACCTGGACTGTTGGTTTACTTTGACGACTGGATTGGGAACTATTTGTTTAGGTCATTCCAGGGGTAGGAACTGCAGATGTTGTGGACTTAATTTCCCCTGATGCTTTGCCAGAACATCTGGAGTGCTGAAAGTAATCTACTCCAGGGTTATTCTAGAACAGCCAGTAAAGTGAAGTATCATGGGAGATGTAGTTCTAGGACAACACATAGACTACTTGTTGGCTACTGCTGCCCTAGATTGTCTAATTTTACGCTCGAGAGCCAAAGCCAGATGTAAAAGATTAGCTATGTGATAGCTCTTTCTTGTAGAAACTAGGCAACAGTTTACATTCCGATGCTCATTTACTAAATTGGGGCTTGCGTTAAAATCACGTTATGATCTTTAAAAGGTTTTTTTTTTTTTAACAACGGTTGCACTCAGGTATTAATGATCTGATAAAGTGAATATTGGCTTTTGATCTATAATTTCATTTTTTGTGAAGCTGGGAACTTTGCCTGACTGCTAAATTCTGCAAAAAAAATTTTTTCCCTCTTACATAATTTGAAAGCAAAGTGACTGTAGTGCTTTGTTCATTGGTAAAAGTTCTGCTTGTTATAGGAAGGTGCTTAATTTTTCTGCAGGGATTTGAGACAAGAACTTCTTGACAAAAAAAAAAATACCATAATTGGTATTTAAAATAAATCAGTTCAACCGAAAAAAACTGTGCTTCTTTAGAGTAGTTAGTTGAATTTGTAAACCAGTATTGCGCTGAATAGAAGCAATCACAAATATTGGTCAAATTGGGAAAACAATAAAACCATTCAAATGCAAAATTGATTAAAACAAAATATAAAGATTGCTATTCTTATGGGTATTCCCATCTGAAAAGTTTTTTTTCCTCATCATTTCTCACTTCTAGCCTTATTGGATGGCTCTGTTACCATTCGAGCCATAATGAGTGCAAGAAACAGGATTTCCTGATTAACGATCGATAGTTCATTGATTCTTGCATCATGGGATATACATATAAAGCATCTTACTATTGTGGTCTGGTCTTGACAGTTCTTGAATGTCTATGGAATGTTAATAGAATTGTGGGTCTTGTCTTGTTACATTCCAGTGTTTTCTGCCTCTTGGCATGCTAAAAGCACGGCTTAAAATGTCTGTCTCTCACACTGAATAAAGTGCTGTTAGTGTGCTAAACTACAGAAACAGCCACTGCTATGTGATGTAGATTTTCTACTTGAATATTTTTTATGTTGTAGGAAACCTCAGGAGGTCTGTGTTTACTGTTTTTTATATCTACCGCGGTTTTATTTATTTTTTTCCTTTTATTTTTCCCGCCTTCCCTGTTTTTGAAGGACAATAACCATGGTATAAAAACTGCCTCTCAACCTAAGTTGGTAACAGAAAGCATTGCCTATTAACTATAAACAAGTCTCATAATTCATTCAAAAACTCTACTGGTGTATCGATCAAAGGGTGTTCTAAACGAATATTCATAGGTTAATAATACTTTTTCATAGACTCTTACACCTAAATGGTGTTTACAATATGCATTTAGCATAAACACATTAATATGCTTTGTGTGAATAATTGCAAGACAGTGTCTGAATTGAAATAAAAGTGCTGTTTGATACTGTACCTGCACTGTGTACAAGGCCAATTTTCATGCAGAGCACCATAGCAACACTCGTAGATTCTCCCCTTAGGTTTTTTTTTTGTTTTGTTTTTGTTTTTTTCTTTTATACACGTGCTTGTGACAGAGAGTGATCTCGTTATTTAATTATGGCACTTAAACCTGGAGAAGATGTTGGAAATCTTAATTAGCTGCACACACTCCATTTGGTTAAGAACGAACATGTTTCTGCATTAGGAAAGTTGTTAATGTATCATTTTCCAACTGCAATAATCTGCAAGGTATTAAAGAGTAACCTATATCTTTTAAGTACACGTATAATGAGAAGCTTTATTAGAACTGATCATGTTTAGGAATCTCACACAATGATGTGGTGAAATTTGACAGGACATGTACAGTGAATTAAGCAGTACAGTTTACTTGAGAATTTGAGTTCAGCAGTTTCCTCCAAAGCATATTATGTGATAACCTTGCCTATTACTGTGATCAGCGTATTATTATTTTATTGTAGCTTGTAATTCATCTTTTTGCTGCGGGTAAAAATATTCTGCCTACCTAATATACTGTGACTATATTCCTTTCTTATAATTGTCCCTGCAGAATTTTTTACTTAAAGGAACAGTCTAATATAGTTTTTCACCAAGTGTTCCTTTATCTGTTTAGTTTAAAAAAATTTAAACTTGCCTATAATCTACTCTCAACAATTTTATCACTTCAGTCAAGGTCACTTCCATGAAGTCATCAAGCTTTTTGGCTTTTATCCAATGAAATGCTTCTTATAGAAGTACTACGGACATGCACCACATCCTTGGCAATCGCCACCATCCGACAATCCACTGCTCACAGAGTAGCATTGGATGCATGTTCATTGTCTGCATGCATGTAGATTCCAGGGCTGAGTTTTAGTCTAAAGCCCCATAGTGGCGGTCTCAATGACAGTCCCAAGGCGGTAGGCATTTCAAAAAGATAATGGTGTGGTTTCTCTGAACGGCACAGTTTTCAAAGCCGGGACGGCTTCTATGTCCCGTCCCGTGTCGTCCCTTCATTAACCCCTTCAATACCAGAATAGAGTATAAACCCTTATTTTCATGTATTGTGAAGTATATCTAGTCCATAAACCCTCATTTATATTCTAGTTATGATTTTCAGCCTGTAGAGGAACACATTTCTCTGCCAGAAGCCGCTAGTCACTGATGTGACTGTAAATTTACTGAAAATTTAAGCTCACACACTACTTTCAAATAGTACTGGAGTTTTCAATGGGTGATGCCATTCTTACAGTCTGGGAGAGGGGAGGAGTGAATAGACTAATTTCACTGTTAGCATTACATTATCAGTCCAGACCTTTATTTTAGAAATATATGATTTTACTGTATGTGGGCATTATGCTTTAATGCAGATATTCTTTTTACATTCTGTTGCAATTTTTAGTAAACTGCACTACTAGTAATGCCTTCAGGTCCTTACAAATGACCATTTTTATTTAGATCTTTCACATCTACTGTATGTGAGGAAAAATAGAATTGACTTTTTAAATTTGCTTTTATATTAACATTTCAGACTCTGTGTGAAGTATTGCAAGATAAAGCACACTGTATATTGTAAAACTTTTGATTTTTCAAATTTTTTTTTCATAAAGGATGAATGAAAAATTAAAAATATGTTGACACTTAGTTTTTTTTCCCCCCACAAAGTTTGCAAAGCAATCGGTACACAAAATTACTGTTATGTTTATAGGCTAGCTATGCATCCCTTGCTTCAAATAGATGGTATGCTAATAGTTTTTTAATCAAAGTGCTCAGTAGTGAAGCGGGTAAGATGAAGTGATTATGATCTTTAGGCTGTCCCTTTAAGCAGTTTATAAAAAAAAAAGGGACTGTGGAATGGACTGTGTGTGTTTAAAAAAAAAAAAAAAAAAAAAGAGCCAATTTTCCAAATTATAAAGGTCACTGCACATAGTGGTATAACCAAAATTAATTATTAACGGAGGCTGGAGTTAGTTAAGATAGCTACCCTGGTATGAAGAGGGACTTTTAAATGTGAATTACTGATAAGAATGAGGGATAAAGCATTAACCTGTTTTAGTATTAATGGATTATAGCTATAATAAGATCAATTTACCGCCTACATGTTCTAGAATATGCCTAAAGTTCTGTAGGCAAATTTTTTTTTTTTTTTTTTGCATCCTTAAATATTTCTGTAAAATCACCACTGGAACCTATATACATATACATATACATACAAAAAAAGCATGCATGTCAGTCAGTCCTTGCTGTGCTCCCTGCTATTTTCACATATAAATGATATAAGAATGACTAGAATATTTTGGTGATTGCCCTAGATTGTATCGGGGTCCTTTTTAAAAGGGTTTAGAATACTTTTTCTTATGGGCTTCTTTTTGGCACTAAATTGGGAATAAATAGCCATGTTTTACCTAATCTAACACTGTGATTTAAAATAAATAAATACATTTTTTAAAAAAGTTTTATTAGCCATGGGAAACCAATCAACGTGATGAATTTTCAAAAGAAGCAATATCAATAAATACCTATAGTGCAGTATAGGATGCTTTTTTTTTTTTTTTTTACACTTCATCTGTGTGGGGGCAAAAAAATATCCTTGGCTGGTATACATCTTTAGGCCTGAGAAGTGGTAGTTCATGATTCAAAGTGTCCAATGGTAACTTTATATGTATGGGGCAATTTTGTATATCAAAAAGGTTGCTCTTTTTGTTAAAACAGTTAACCATAAATGAATTCCCTTCAGCTGATTACATCAGTTTATTGGATCTTTCTGGTAGCAACTTAGGTTGTATGCATTTCAAAAGAAAAGCTTTATATGAGATTTCTTTATTTTTCCCCAAACAGAATGTTACCTTTTAGACTGGGATATCCAATATCGCCTCTTCAGCAGGTTGGATAGGTTCCATAGAATTCTGTCAGCTGTTGACTGGCAGAGAATTTTTGGGAACTATAGTCCAAAAGCTGGTGGGTCAAAATAGGTGTTACCCTTGTATTAAGCATATATTGCTAGTGAAAATGTATGGTCTTCTTACATGGAGTAATTTATTTCTCAGACATTTGCCCCTGCTTATTGACTTTCACTTTAAATAAAATATAGTTTTAGTTTTTGATAAGCTGCTGAATTTTAAATGTTTTTTGGGGGCCACCAAATATTTTGGATCATGCAGAGAATATATATTGTAATGTAGTAATTTTTGTATTTACATTTGTATGATGTGATAATAGATGTGAATGTTAATCACTGCTTGGCTGTGTTAATAAAATTGTTTAAATACATGGTGTAAATTGTTGTTCTTAACTATCAAAGATTACTGTGAGCTAGAGTTGCAGGCCTATCAGATATACTTGAGGGGGGATGCTTGTGAATTGGGGACTGTGAAGGGAGGTATATGCAATGGCTAGAGCTGTTAAATGAATTCTGCTGCGGTTTGCCCTCCACACTTTATAGAGTTGGGGTTGGAATAATAACAGGGAGGCTAAATTAGTTCCTAACCCTAATTTTACCTCACCTAAACCCTTAATATACTCATCTGCCCTCCACCCTTAGGGTTAGAAGAATTGAGTGAAGCAAACAGTTAAACTGTTTAAAACCGGTTAAAATTCAAAAAAGAAAATTAAGGTTAGGAACTAATTTAGCCTCACTCAATTATTATTTCAACCCTAGAAATAGTGGAGAGCAGAAACCATGTAAGGTCCGAATTTTAGGTTACTTCAAGCCCTACCTTTTAGATGTCTTGGTATCAAAACACTTTCATAGTAAATCGAGAAATTTGAAGAATAAGTTTGTGGTAGTGTTGTGGACAAAAATATTAACCCAATTCATATTAATAAAATGCCTATTTACTCAGCATAACCACAATCCGCATTATTCAACCTTATGTGATTTACCTAAAATGGCCGCTAGGGAGTTTCCCTTTGACATCGACTAACACCCTCATTAACAAGATGGCGCTGGAATCTGGGGGAGACCTCCAAGATACCAGTGACATCACACCCGGTAGGAAGGGCACTAAATGAACCACTTAACACCTAACCAATTATTGATGTACTATTCCGTGTTATTTCTGACAATGCATATGATGTCATTTTGCTTTATAAGGGGCATGCCGTCCCCCCAGAATAAACTTTCCTCAAGTGTTTCATTAACCCGAAACCTGTCTCTGGTGTGAATTACTTCAGGAGCGTGCACGCATCTTTTTAAATTTGGCCTGGGGCAGATACGCAAGATAATTGATTCCACATAATTTGGCGCCCAACGTGGGGCACCGGGTTTTGCTGGTTCGGACGTCCGGAAACCGGGACAACTGGAGCCTGATCACCTCTTAAATACTGTGGTTTGCCTGTATTCTCCTGTTTTGTGTCGGTCTGTCTCCGTGTCCACTTCTGGCTTCCAGAAGGCTACAAGACAGGTAATCTCTTATCCGGTGCCTTTTTTTTTTTTTTAAACCAACCTGTTTATTGTCTATCTGCCTCCTGAGTGTTTGTGTGCGTGTGAGACAGCTGGTGTGTGGTTTATGTTTTATTACTATAGCTTGACTGCCTAGCGTGCAGGGAACGCATCCGCCCGGTGAGGGGCTGGGAATTTATTACAGCTTGACTGCCTAGCGTGCAGGGAACGCATCCGCCCGGTGAGGGGCTGGGAATTTATTACAGCTTGACTGCCTAGCGTGCAGGGAACGCATCAACCCGGTGAGGAGCTGGGAATTTATTACAGCTTGATTGCCAAGCGGGCAGGGAACGCATCAACATCATCATTTTGTCATACTGTTCAGAGCAGAACAGGGTTTTATTTACTGTTGAGTTGGTACTATGCTCGTTGTTATATTGATCTTTATAATATTAGGGTTTTTATTCAATTGTGGCCATAGTGTGGGTACCCTCGTGCTGTGTGTGTGTGTGTTGTGTGGCTCACCCTTGATTCCGGGTTTTTGTACACATCTGTGACTCTTGTAAATGTCTTCTGATTAGTCTCTCCACGTTCACCTTTTCCTTCATTCTCTACCTCTTCTGTACTTTTTACCCAGTCAGTCACCCACGCTCGCCTGCTCAGATCCGTGGCCATCATCTCGGGTGGGTGGATCCCGTGACTAGTCTACGTTTAGGGAAAGAAGCATGAAGATCAATTCCTCGTGGTAGTCGAGCACTGTAGACATTCCTTCTTTTTTCCCTCTCCCTTTCCCTCGTAACATAGTTAAGGAGAGAGCAGGAGAAGAGGCTATGTTAAAAATAAAGAAAATAGCAAACATTTGTGGCTTCCAAATGTCACCCAGTGGTAGATTACAGCCAGAATTTTGGAGGAAATTGCTTATTGACAGAGGGCTTATTGTTGGATAATGGGTTAATGAAAGCCATGGAGGCTTGGTATCGGGTGGCAAGAGGACGCAGGTGGGAGGGTTGGTTAGAGGAAGAACTAGATTTTGGAGGACAATCGATTTATGTATATCATAGAAATGTTTTGTAATGATGATTCATCTCTTGATGGTCCCCAGCCACCGCCCTATGATGGTGCCCAACACAATGTGAAAGAATCTGACTCCGCTTCCCCAGCCACTACCCAGTCGTCATCTCCAATTGGTGTAGGCTCCTCTGTACCCCGTACTCGGGGTGGACGAATCTTATTACTATCCCGTCCCTTGCCCACCTCCCTCTGTTTTTCCCACTGCTCCCGCCCCATTCCCATCTCCCTCTGTCATTCCTACTGTTCCCGTCACTCTCCCACCTCCCTCTGTCATTCCTATTGTTCCAACCTCCTACCGTCGTTCCCACTATCCCAGCCCCTCTCCCACTTCCCTCGGGTCCCGTCTCTCTTCCACCTTCCCCTGTCGCTTCTGATCCCGTCCCTCTTCTACCTTCCTCTATTACTTCTTCTGAGATCACCCCTCTCTCACCTCCCTCTCATTCCTTCTATTCCAGCGCCTCTTTCACCTTCACCTATTGCCTCCCCTGTCACCTCTCTTGATCCTCTCCCCGTCATTCCTTCTATTCCTGCTCCCCTCCCGCCTTCACTCTGTTGTTCCCCTTGTCACATCTCTCTCTGCCATATCCCCCTTCGACCAATCTTCTTGTGCCACTCCCTCCGCTCCTGCATCTCCCTCTCATCTTCCCATCGCCCCTTCCGTCCCAGTTTCAGCTTCCCCTCCCCTTCCAGCCTCCCTCCCTTGATCTTTCATCACTCATTTCCGCCCTCTCCGCTCATCTCCCTCAGCTTACTCAGACCCCGTCACCTCCGGTTATGACTATCACTTCCCCTCTTCCGCCCCCTCACGCAGTCCAGTTCCTGTCCACCTCCCTCAGGGCGGCTCCCAGTTACCCAATTATGATAGTTGGGTCGAATGAATCAGTTGCATTGGAACAACCTCATGCTGTAGGAGCCTCTCCTGCTGCATCAGGCTTCCATCCCACTACCTCTCAATTAGTTACTCCCCAGGCCATTGCTGTTGGTTCCCCCAACTCCGGTGCCCTGGCCGCTCAAGCCCCTAATTCATAAGATGCCGCCAGCTACCACGGTCTCCCGTTCCCGATTTCCTCCCCGAAGATGACAACGTGCAGGGGCTCAGCTTATTCCGCCCTGCGAATCATAGGGTTTCCCAGAGACAGGCCACCCTGGCCAATCATATCCACACTCTATCAACTGTGGAAGGGGCTCCCCCAATGTATGTTACTTTCAACCCATCCCAAGCTGCAACCATGGTAACTTCCCTCCCCGACCCTGAGAACCACCCCATGCCCTTCTTTCGGAGGATTGCCCAGATTCGCAAGACATACTCAGCTGCCTGGCGCGATATGTGTGAGATCAAAGCTGGGGATGCCTATTGGCCCATTATGGAAAGGAGTTTTAATGACGCTCTCCTCACTACTGATATGGATTTTCAGTCGGGTATCACATTCTGTGAACAGCTTCGGGCCTGAGCCCAGGATAAACTAGAGTCTGTGGAGAAGTACAATTCACGATTGACTCAAACTTTCTCTGATCTAGGATTCAGTGTATACAATAAGGCGCCTACCCAAATGTTATCAGCGGCCTTTGTTGCGGGCCTTAAGGAAGCCATCAGGAAAGGCTTAGTGTTTTCCCGCCCTGAATATAGGATTATTCCTACACTCTCCTTTTGGTTGCTAAAGGCCGAGAATCTGTACAACAGACACCCCAAAGGAAAAGTAATCCCCTTTTGTTTTCCTTTTATAGTCCTACCACCAGACCTGCCCCAGCACCCGCAGGGTATCCCGTGCCAGCTACACAGGTACAACACCATACACACATCTAGGCCTCAGACCAGGGCTTGCTTTAATTGTAACCAATTAGGTAATTTCAGGAAAGATTGTCCACACCCCAGAGTGCTTAGACAACAACAGCCGACCACTAGACCACCTAATCCTGTGTTCAACTATCCTATGTACCCCAATGCCCCTGCAATCACACATGGTTGCCTCGAGCCAGGTTACCCTCCACAGGTATATCCTCAGGCACATACTTCGTATTACCCTCCTCAGGAATATACCCAAGCTGCCTGTCAGCCACCTCCAGCTGATGATCACCCTCCACACCACAGCTATGTTCACAATTCCCCTGATAATTATGATACAGATGATTATCAACAAGATGACCGTCCTGTACCCAGTCAACATCGCCCTACACGCCAGACTCAGCAGACCAGTCGCTCCACGGCACCCACATGTCACTACACTGGCCCTGATCAATCTCATCTAGACCTCTTACAATAGGTAACTGGCAAACCTGTGTCTAACACCCCTGTCATGGCAGTGTCTACAGGGGACAAAGGCGGGCCTCTCGCTACAGTAGTCCTACCCGTAGAGGGTCATCCTACTACCTTTTTAGTTGACACAGGTGCAGCCCGCAGTGTTCTCAGAGAACAAGACCTGCCTGACTCATCTTACCTATCCGACACAGATGTCTCTTGTGTAGGTGTCAATGGTATCCCTAGAAACAATCCATTAACTAAGCTCTTGCGGGTGGGTTCAGACATTCTCTCACGGTTTGTTGTCTCTTCTACGTGTCCTATTAACTTATTAGGTGCTGATGTTCTGTCCTGTCTTCAAGCCTCTATCTCTTTCACCGCTGATGGCCAGTTTCAATTATTAACCCCCCTTTCTCGCAAAGATTCTTCTGTTCTTTGCCCCTATGGTTACACATGACTTCCCCCTCCGAGGAGGTAAGGGTCCCTGGATGGAGTCCCTACCAAACTTTGGTCTACAGGCCCAGATGACATTGGACACCTAAGTGTCCCACCCGTGGTTCTTACGCTACTAAAGGGAGCTAATCCACCACGAAGACCACAGTACCCATTAAAGCCTGCACAAGCCCTTGCCATCTCCAAACATGTTGAAGGTTTGTTGGCAAAAGGCACTCTGGTAAAGTGTCAGTGTAACCCCTCTCTATTTTCAGTGAAGAAGACTGAAAAAGGCCAACCTGACCAATACCGTATGGTTCAAGACTTCCGCGCTGTTAATTATGTCACCAACCGAGACACTGCTGTTGTCCCGAATCCACATACACTGTTGGCACAAGTCCCTCCAACAGCTAAATGCTTCACTGTGGTTGATCTTGCAAACGCCTTTTTCAGCGTGCCCTTGGATCCCTCTTGCCAATATCTGTTTGCTTTCACACATGATCGCCAACAGTACACTTGGAGTGTCATGCCTCAAGGTGCACAAAATTCCCCTACTCAATTCGCCAAAGCTATGTCAACTGTCTTAGAACTTTGGCAGAAGTCTCACCCTGACGTGGTCCTGCTCCAGTATGTGGATGATCTACTCCTCTGTGCGGATGATCTTCCAACTGCTGAACAAAATTCCGAAGATCTCCTTTGTTTCCTCGTTGAAGAAGGATGTAAAGCCTCCAGAACGAAACTTCAGTGGTGCCTCTGTGGTATTCTTGGGATATTGCCTTTCCCATGGCACCCGTCACCTAACAAAGAACAGAGTACTTGCTATTACCAATCTCTCTCTCCCGTCTACTCACCAAACTCTTCATGCCGTCTTGGGCCTCATCACATACTGCAGGTCTTGGATCCCTGAGGCTTCTCAGCTCATGCAACCTCTCTATGATGCCTTGAAGACTGAACCATTTTCATTGTCTTTAACAGCTCGCTCCTGCTACTATGCCCTTCAAAGGGCCATCTCCTCTGCTCCA